TCTATAAAAGAAGAAGCAATCATGCAAACTGACTAGTACGTGTCGAGTACCTCTCGTTTTCTGACAGCTCCCGACAAACGCATTGAGTTTACCGATTTTCTTATAGACGTGTTGAGTCTATACTCCTGGTAAACGTGGTGCAGTGTTGCCAGTCTAGTACAATTGTACTAGATCTAGTACATTCTCTGAGAATCTGGTACTCTAGTACACTCGAAACAAAATCTAGTACTTTTTTCAGCGTATGTTTCCATTTGAAGTGTAAAATATATTGGTCAAAAATTGTAAGAGAAATTAAAATAGTTCTTAAAAATTACTTCAGAGATAAAATGGTAGACACTTCTCGAGACATAAAACATTGTTTAAAAATTGCACGAGAGATCAAATATTGTTCAAAAATGGCAAAAAAGGGTGTTAAAAATTGGCCAAAGTTTGAAATAGTATTAGAAATTGCTTGAGGGGTAAAATATTGTTCAAAAATTGCTCTAGGGATAAAAATACTGATAGAAATTTAATTAGAGTTAAAAAAAATTAATAATTTTTCGAGAGATTAAATAGTATTATAAATTATTAAAATCGTGTTCAAAAATTGCTCGAGGTAAAATAGTATTACAAAATGTTAAACTCTTGTTCAAAAATTGCTCGAGGGATAAAATACTTAAAATACTATTGAAAAATTTGTTGAGAAATAAAATAATGTTCAAAATTGACTGAAGAGATACCTAATATTTGAGATTACTCGAGAGATGAAACATTGCTTAAAAATTCCTCGAACAATAAAATACTATTAGAAAATGCTCGAGAGATAAAATATTGTACAAACATTGCTCGAGATATAAAACATTGTTAAAAATTTATCGAGAGTTAAAATATTTTTATAAATTTGTCGAGAGTTAAAATATTGTGCAGTTTGCTAAAGAGATAAATAAGTTGTTAAAAATTGCTCGAGAGATAGAATGTTATAAATTTATCAAAAAATAAAATATTGTTTAAAAATTGTTAGAAAGATAAAAATGTTAATAAAAATTGCTCGAGAGATAAAATAATATTAGAAATTATTAAAATTTTTCTCAAAAATTGCACGAGAAATCAAATATTGTTCAAAAATAGCTTGAAAGGTAAAAGAGCTGTTAAAAATTGCTCGAGTGATTAAATAGTGTTAAAAATTTAACAAAAATTTTGTACAAACATTGCTCGAGGGATAAAAAAAGTTGTTAAAAATTGCTCGAGAGATAGAATACTGTTAGAAATTTATTTAAAATTGTTTAAAAACTGTTCGAGAGATAAAATATTATCAAAAGGTGTTAAATTTTTTTTAAAAATTGCTCAAAAGATAAAATATTAGAGATTGTTAAAATTTTGCTCAAAAATTGCACGAGACATCAAATATTGTTCCAAAATAGCTGGAAAGGTAAAAAAGGCTTTTAAAAATTGCTCGAGTGATTAAATAGTGTTAAAAATTGTAGAAACATTGCTTAAGGGATTAAAAAAATTGTTAAAAATTGCTCGAGAGATAGAATACTGTTGGAAATTTATCGAGAAATAAAATATTTTTTAAAAATAGCTCAAGAGATAAAAAAAATGAAAAACTGTTCGAGAGATAAAAGAGTATCAAAAGGTATTAAAATCTTATTCAAAAACTGTTCGAGAGATAAAAGAGTATCAAAAGGTATTAAAATCTTATTCAAAAACTGTTCGAGAGGTAAAATAGTGTCAGAAATTTGTCGAGAGATAAAATATTGTTTAAAATTGTTGTGTTCGTGTTCTCTATAGAATCTAGTACATTTTTATGAAATCTGGTAAATTTTTTAGATAAATCTGGTACATCACAAAAATATATTCTGGCAACACTGACGTGGTGGGTCTATATTCCAGTCACATACGTGTTGAGTCTGTTTTTTCGTAGATTTTCGTTGATTCTTCGACGTTAAGTCCGTACCCAATTAATTTTCACATAACCTAAATGCCTTGTTAGATACAGGATAGCACAGATCATTCATTGGGAAAAAGTACCTAGAAATAAGTAGAAAACCTATAGAAGACGAACACGCAAAAGTCACGCTAGCAGACGGAAGTACAAGCAATATTTCTAAAAGTATTTCTTTCAACTGTACCGTAAACGGTATCGAAAAGTAGGTAAAATTTTACTAACTACTCAATCTAGCGATGTACATTGCGTTCGGTCTCCCAAGTTCCTTTAACTCCTTTAACACATTTAACTCCAAACGACCCTTTTAGCGTTAGGTTTAGTCCGATTAGTGACAGTTTAACACGCTTAAATGTCATTTACAAGCACCCTAAAATTTGTCCCGCTCCAGCCCCTGACTGACCGAACTCGCCTGTAATAATAGGTAGTATGGACGAGTGGGAATTTAACCGGAACTTTCAAACGAGCCAAATTGAAAAATTAAATATAAACACGACCGCCGATATACCAGAAGAGTCCGAGCTGATAGATTCGACAATAACCGTTCAACGACAATACAATAAAAATAAAAGACTCAGAGGTCACCCGATACAACAAAAAGAAAAAAGAAGTGGAGAAAAAATTAAAATATTAATTAGATTACATGTTACAAGACAATTACCGGTATTTCTGGGACAAAAATAATCTTAAAGAGTTAGAATGTAACCCATGGAAGGTCTGTATACCGACCGAGGAAAAGCAACCAACTGCTAAAAAAAGACAATGATTGATCTCCGAAAATCATAAAGAAAAGACAGCAATTTACCTGAGAATCACTAGTCACACCGGCTTGTGCAACATTAATGTAAACGCACCATCTGTTTGGACAATCAAACATCCTTATTAATAATAAATAACATTTCGAACATTTGGTAACACGGCGTTACTTACTCAATTTCATCCTAATTTTTTGTTGAAGTTTGGTGATGTCGTTAAGTTAAGAGGCATAAACCTTACTTTTTAGTAATACCCATAAAAAATCTGCCAACGTTCCTCTGAGGGTACCTGGCGATACCTTTTGGTATTCAGCCTTGCTGGCGCATGCGGGGATCTGCGTAGATCGACCCTTCTTTCCCTGGCTATTAGTGGTAACCTTATGAATCCAAACTCAAATCCAAGGAGGCTGGACGTCAACGCTCACCTCCAGCAAAAGAGGCTGGACGTCAACGTTCACCTCCTATAAAGAAAGTTGAACTTCAAGGTTCACGTCGCATCGCAGTTCAACTAAAATCGACAGAGATGCAAGAGGATCTTTGGTTCTGAAGCAAAGAGGAGGCAGAAGATTAAACTGAAGGCAGGCAGATCTGCGGCAACTGCCACTGGCAGGATATTCTCTCAAGCCAAACCCAACCTAAGCAGCCCAATCAAGCTTTGAGTAGCGACGCTACAAGAGGCCAGGAACAAGACACAACCAAGGACAAGAAAAGGCCGTGATCGGTTACACCTCGTAGGAGCCATACTAGATCACCTCCTTCCCCTTTCGGAGGAAAGTATGGTCAAACACTAACCCCAAACAGCTCCCAAACTTCAATGGGGATCGGAAAGCAATTAAAGAGATATAAGTTATACAATGTAACTTGCAGTACAAAAGGGTGGTTACGGCAACATTATGCTGCCGCCTTAATGAGCTTCAAGATACAGTGCCACTCATCCAGGAACCCGGGATGATAGAAACCAAAATTGTAGATCTAAAAAATCTAAATGGTTCAATTTTGAGCCTCCCCAATAACCTAAGACAGCCATTTACCTTCCTAGGAAATATAAAGCCCATTCAATGGCATACATTTCCACCTCTGATTTCCCTGCGGTTAGGATAAAATATGCCAACAAGAGGGATAAAGAAAACATTGAGCCTGGCATCTGCAACCACGCCACCAACCAGAAAAGAGTTGAAGGATCTGATTGAATACTGCCCGAATCATAAGTTTGTGCTGGTAAAAGGTTGCGACTCAAATGCTCATCACTTCAATTCGGGCATTAAGGATAACAACGTTAGAGGCAAGTAACTTTATGATTATATAAATACCAAAAATATTTGTATTTTAAATACATTAACATTTTTAAACGCTCGCAGTCAAATACTAATAGATATCACTTTATCCAAAACTGGTATATATAAATCAATTCTAAACCTGCAAGTATCTGATGACATTTTGATGTCAGATCACCGCTGGTTAAAATTCAAAATAAACGATGTTGCCAACCTCCACGTTACCTCGAAATCCTAGGAAGACGGACAGGGCAACCCATGCTCACCTTCTCCAAGAGACTTTGAAAGAGGTGAAGACCAAAATACCAAACAATAACATTTCTTTGGAAAAGTACTTGAATACTATTCAAAACATAATAAACAATGCCTATAAAAATCCTGCCCCCTAAGGCTGGTCCAACACGATCAGGCGACTACCGCATGGTGATGTCACAAGTTGAATCACCTCAGGAAGATAGCTAGGTAATCTTTTAATAAGACAAGAATCACAAAACTCAAAGAGGACTGGGATACTTACAAATCTCACCTCAAAGAATAAAAAAAAATCGTTAGAAAAAAACAAAAAGATGCATGGAGATGTTATTGCAAAGAAATCGAAGATTTCCCGCAAGCAGCGAGACTTTAAAAAGCTCTCTCAAGAGATCGACACTACAGTAACGGTGCGCTTATCAAAGAGGATGTCATGAAAACTACAAACAGTTGGGATTATTAAAACGTATCCGCCAACTATATCGTATTTTTCAGCATGTAAAAGATTATTTATTTAGCACAAAGTCCAATTAATGTCCATTATTTGTACCCTCATTGCAAGCCTAAAATCAACGTGAGCTTGGAAATGTTTTATCTCCATCCGAAGCTGTCCGAGAACTTTTGACATAATATCAAGAATTAGTGGAGTAAATCACTTCAAATAATCTGTCACGCATGTAACCTATTAAGTAAACGCCATTCGTAATCGTAATCAATCCGTACGACTCACAGAAGATTTGTTGTCCTCAGGTCTTATTTTAAAATGCTATAAATACGATTCCTTAAATTAAAAACTAATTTTCAATAAAAATTATGTATTTGTTAAGTAAATAGTTTTTTAACATAATACTCGTTCCCAAAGTTTAATTTAGTGCATGCTATCTTCTTCTAAATACAGACTAATAGGATACAGTTTATCCCAAAATTGGAAGCGATTCTCAAGAAGTTTCTCCTTCATTACTAACTGTTTGCCAATGTCCAAATATTTGCGTTCTGTTGGAGTATATGGTTCCCACAATGTATTATCCAATATTTTCGACCTAACAGGTGTTGGATTTCTGTAAACGAAAAAGAGAAATAACGACAATTAAATTTTCTTTTAATAAGTTTCCATACTTTTTTTAAATCTAGCAAATCATACGAGTCATCGAGAAAAATCATAATAGGAGTTGGTTGTGAAATTTAAATGTTTTGGGTTGGTATTAAGTCATTTTCACAGAATGCATTTATTACTTGACCTGACTAACTCTCTAGGGCTAATAGACGTCAAAAAATAATGTAAGCATAGTCAAAAGGGCATAAGTTATATCTCCGTTGCTATTGGTCCGATTTACACGGCACAAACGACCACTATGATGGAGACATGGTATAAACACGGCATAAAAAACAACCGGCAGGCCCACTCTCCGCTGATCGCATACAAATATTGTACTAAGAAAATTTGACCTTGACGACGCCATTCAGGGGTCTTAGTCAGGGTCGGATTAAAGCGTATTTAAAGATTTTGTAATAAAATAAGGTATTGATAGGCAGGATCGTATTAAAACAAAAAAGCTTCACAGATTGCGCCAAATAATTATCTTGTTTTTATTGATGGTCTTAAAATTTCTATTTATATTTTTAAAGTGAAATATATGAGCAGCCTTAAATATAACTTAGGACCGATTCCACCGTTGTGTTAAACGAAGTTTAAAATTACATTTTTACATTAACAATGTCATTTTAATCTCCGTTTAACACAACAGTGGAATCGACCCTTAATAACATATATTTATGGAAATCGGGGACAAGGAGCGTCAAATGTTATCTCGGAATTAATTAAATCTAAAAAAAAAATTACAAACGCCGGATTTAGTGATAAATAATTCAAAATTGTGATGAAAAATTATTTCAATTTTTGTTATTAAACATACAAAACTATTATTTGACATTTTTAAATTGCCAAAAATATCTTTATTTGCTTTTTTGTATGCTTTATAATAACAATACAAGGAGCTTATATCCAAGTATTCGTGTGTTAAGGCATAGTGTGTACATACATCGCAACGTTGAATTTTAAGACATTTTTTTTTATTAAAAATCCGCATATATAATAAAATTTTCTTAAAAAATATTAATATGTTGTGCATGCAATTCATTAATATGCTTGTTTATATTTATATTTTCGACAATATTGCCACCATTACACGCGATTTTGGAAAATGGCTCTTCCTTACTAGTCCTACGAATTTCATGTAGCCTTGCAAGTAAAGCATCCCCACCTGTTTCGCAGTTTTCAGTTCCAGAATGTAATAAATTTAAACATTGCAATTTTTTGAACGTCCTTTGAATTTGGACCGATGTAAGGTTTACACAGTTACCATCATGAAGGAAGGATAATTGAGTTGCAGATTCCTCACAGAAATTTGGCAGCATGTTTACCTTCAGCGACATATGGAATAGTTTTGTGCAATTAATACTCAGTCGGTAATATAGAAAGATGTAATGCTATTTTAGCTTGAAAATTGGCGGGCTTTTGAATTTACTTCGACAAAATATAAGAATTTTACATTTTTAATAGCACTGCTTAAAACACATCTACTTATAATTTCTTTAATGGCTAATTAAGATTTTCTTACTTTTTGTAATGAAAATACTTTAGATTTATCAAGATTCTTTGTTATTCGCATATCTAGAATAATTATCAAAATGAATATCAGAATTAAATTTTTGTTAAGCATTTTAATATTTGGGAATAACACAATTACAATTAATATTCATTTTTTTTTCAGAAAAAAAAATTATTCCATACAAAAAATTCTGCTTGTTGAAGAAAATTACAAGAAAAAGTTTCCTTTTAAAGTTATGAAGGAAAACCGAAAGGAAAACTGTGACTTTTCTTTGTAAAATCAATAAGGTAATACAGATTTTTTCCTTTTGTCAATTTTAAGTTTCTTCATTTATTAAGACCATGTACACCTGACCTAACATATTAATATAGTAAACCTATTTTTTCGTCAAACAGAATTTTTTTATAATGACTTTTTTCTTAAAATAAAAATAAAGATTTTTCCATTTTGTCAACTCCATATGGGAGATGTTTAAAATATAACATTTTACTTTAAATCTTAATAATATACCTACATAAGTAAATATAATTTGACGCTAAACTTTACGTGACGTTAACTAGGCACCTACCTACATCTTACTAATAACTTTATAACTGACAAACTGACTCATAAACTAGGATTTTTTTAAAAGTATACCATACATACCTAATAAGATCTTTAAGAAACCGAAAAAATCTTTTAATACAGTTTATTCATATAGTTTTTTGCTGCACAACTTTGCCCAGACATAGTAAAACACTTAAAAGTTAACAAATTAACACTGGAAAACAACTACTATATAAAAAGTGTCAAAAAATATCTATAATTCTAAAAAAATAACAATAACTACATAATACAAACATCACAAACAAAATAAATTTAAGATACACGCTACTGATTCCGTGCTACTGCAACTTGTTTGTTTTTGTCGATATAAACGACGACAGTGACGCCACTGGCTTGATTGAGAGGTTGGACCCCAAAATGGCGGTGTGCGCGTAGATGTGCGCGTAGCGTTGCCGCCAAGACAAGTTAGCCTGCCGATTGTTTATTATGCCGTGGTATAAATTAACGTTGAAGAAAAAAAATCACAGATGGTTCCATCTTGTGGTGATTTTTGGTACAAGTGGGCCAGAAACGGCATTGGGTATTTACTTGTCTTAATGCCTATACTGCGATTTTATTAGTCAGACTACAAATAATTTAAAACGCAGGAAAAGTCAAAAATTGACAAACGTAAATAAACAGGAACAATAATGCAACTAAAATTTAACCCGTTGCACTAAGTTCAGTGATCTACGTGACCCATTAGATAAAATCAATCATCTGGATTAGTAGGGGTTTCGATGGCCAATTATAGAGTCTCAAATTTCAAAATAGAATATATGAATGTCTTACCCAGTTTTGGCAAAATTAGCATACAGTCTGGTCAATTTTTCTACCATCTCTACTTCTTTTGGGGAATGTTCTTTGAATAATGGAAAGATTTTTGAAATATAAAATAAATAAATTAAATCATCATGATGAACTACCCCTAGAATATAAAAAAAATATTGTTAAAAAACACTGAAATCCTTTATATTTTTGTATTTATAATATTATTACCATATGGTATTGTATTGTTTGTACCACGTTTATATACGTGACTGTAGCGACCTTGGTAGCTGAACCTGTAGTAATATACAGGATTCTTGTTATATTTAGATATTAGTTTTGCTGCCCGATGCATTTGGAATCCTACAATTGCGTCCTCATATAGCTAAAATTGTATAAAGTTTTAGGTTATTTTAATACAAAAAAAGCAAATTTACCTCTTTTAGTGCCGTTTCTTGACTCCAATCTATTGGTGCATCATGGAAATAATGTTTTTTAATGGCTCTGCTGACTTTCTTAGAAAATTCTGTTTCTCTTTCATATGTAAATGAAATAGGAGCTATTTTTTCAAAATTGTTGCTCATTTCTTCGGATAAAGTTTCGTTTCTAAGCACATCTAAAAAACGAAAGAAAGTTGCAGCTTGAGACATGAACCATTGTCTTGTATACAGGGTGTTTCATAATATATGCGCAGGACTTCAGGACGTGATAGCTCGTCCAAAAATATGAAAAAACGTTTCTATTAACTTACCCTCTAAAATGCACCATTTTCGAGACACAGGGTGTTGAAATTGAAAAAAAAAATTCTACGCCACTGGAAAAAGTACGGTTTTGAGACGCCCATTTGAACCGCCAATATTTTTTACACAAAAAAGGTACTCTTGGTCATACGCTCTAAAAACTACCGTTTTCGAGAAAAATCAAATTTTAATGTTGAAATACAAGGTCATACATACTTGATGAAACAAAATTTGATTTTTCTCGAAAACGGTCGTTTTTAGAGCGTATGACCAAGAGTACCTTTTTTGTGTAAAAAACATTGGCGGTTCAAATGGGCGTCTCAAAACCGTACTTTTTCCAATGGCGTAGAAATTTTTTTTCAATTTCAACACCCTGTATCTCGAAAATGGTGCATTTTAGAGGATAAGTTAATAGAAACGTTTTTTCATATTTTTGGACGAGCTATCACGTCCTGAAGACCTGCACATATATTATGAAACACCCTGTATAGTATAGGGAACAAGTTAGAGATAATGATAGTAATTTAAACTATAGTCTAGAGAAGAAAGGAGTGCAGTAAATTAATTTACTAACGCAGTACAGATTTAAGAGGTAAACATTTTATTTATACCTCATCCTTCAATGCTTATTTGAAGTTAAAATGAGAATTTTAATATATCTGATCGGCCTATTAAAAGTTTTCGTTAAGATTGAATCATGATTTTTACTTTCCTATCTGTATACAGACAAGGAAAGTATAGGAATCATGATTTTTTTCGACCTCGAGTTTTCGACGGATTTTTACGTTTTAAGGTCCCCTGAATCCGTTTTGACTATTTTCGCGATGATGTCTGTGTGTGTCTGTGTGTCGCATAACTCATGAATCGATACACAGAAAAACACCAAATTTAAAAATTAAACTTTGTTCCAACGTCCAATGTGCTGATTAGATTTTGGGCAGTGTCGGAACATCTGGGGGGTACTTTATGGGTGGTCATTTTTATATTTTATGGAATATATCTGTTATTTAGATTTGGGGAAGAAAATTCTTTAAATAAAAATTACTTCTTATATTATTGTCTATAATTTTTGTTTTATACAAAATTTTCCTAAAATGGTCCGTATTCGAGAAATTTGACAAAATGTAAAAAAAATATTTTTTTATATAAATTGTTCAAACAAAAGTTGTTTGTAATATAATTCTCTATAATTTTTCTCCTACACGTAATTTCTCTAAAATGGACCGTATTCGTGATATTTGAGAAAATGTGTAAATTTTTAAATTTGAAGAAAACTCAAAAACGGATAAAGAAAAAAACCTTAAATTTTAAACCTAAGTTTTATTTCGGCCTGACGTGAAATGATTTTGGACAAAGTCGGAACATCTGGAGGGGTACTTTATGGGGGGCCGTTTTTATATTTTATGGAATATATCTGTTATTTATGTTTGGAGAAAAAAATTGTTCAAATAAAAGCTATTTCTAATATTATTATCTATAATTTTTGCTTTATGTCAAAATTTCCTGAAATGGTCCGTATTCGAGAAATTTGACAGAATGTGCAAAATTCTGATTTTTATGAAAATTGTTGAAATAAAAGTTGTTTGCGATATCGATCTCTATAATTTTTGTTTATACATGATTTTTCTAAAATGGACCGTAATGGAAAAATTGTAGGAAAAGTGCTAAATTTAAATTTTTCAGTATTTTCATTTTCAATGAATATCTATAGAAAAATATTTCGAGGTAGATGTATGTGGAAAATGTATATATTTATTTTATCTTTTAAACATTTATAGAGGTGTTGCAATAGGTTAAACAAAATACCCTGAAAAAGCCTATAATAACTAGATAGGAAAGTCATGTGTTGGACACATCAGATTTTTACTGTAACAAACCTTTTCTTTTGAAATTTTATATTAGTATATAATAATTTACCAATAATAAAAAAAAACTACTGAAGAAGGCACTGATCAGTGCCGAAAGCTTTACCCACACATACACGAGTTTCATTTCTCACTAGCACCTAAAAACACAAGAACTACAAAGAAAAAAAAAATAAAGCATTATGTTTAGAAGAAAAAAAATATCGTACTTAACGTAGGTATTTAATAATTTTTGAAAAGACTTTGTTTCACTTTCTGTGGATTTACTAGTCACTTAAGCTGCGGTTGCAGTAGATACGAATTCGTACGAAAATTTGATCGTACGAATTCGTGCGAATTCATACGAATTCAAATGAAGTAAACAAATGCATATAATTACAGCAGGCTAGGGGATCTTTAATAGGGAAACGCTAACTCGTGTTATAGCAGTGTGCAACAATCATAGATGGCGTTACTTTAAACAAAGTTGCTCGTTGGGTTCATCGAGCAAATTCAGAGTGTGTTCAGAGTAACGCAAGCGTACGCAAGTTGCTATTCAATACTTTCAACAGCCATTGTTCCATTTTGTATGATATTAATTCTAATTGTTTTATTTGTTCAGTGTTCTGAAAAGAGTTTTTAGGGCTTAGAACATATAAAATTATGTTGCCAATTCGTTCTTGTTTTGTTTCTGATTGTCAGAAAAAAGTTAGTCGCTGGTATTTTATTTAGATGAAACATGGACTGATGCTGGACATACAGTAACAAAAATTTGGAAAGATACTTCCGTCAAAACTAAAAAATAAGCCATTATGGAAGGGGTTTCTTGTGATTTAAAATATCCAACAGGAAAAGAAAATCGTTAAGTAATAACCCACACTGGATGGATTCTTGCCAGATGGTTTATTAATATTTCAGTCAAAAAAAAAACAAAAGACTATCATGAAGAAATGGATGGCCTTATGTTTCAAAATTGGTATCAGAACATAATAAAAAAATTCCGTTATTTTTTTGGATAATGCATCCTATCACAGTCGATTGAAGGAGTAAATATTTACAACAATATGGAAAAAAGAAGATATTTCAAAATGGCTGAATTCTAGAAATATCATCCTCCTAAATCCTTGAAGACAATTACTCGTTGTTCCGAAATGAAATAATTTAATTTTCTCATTTTAAAATATTCGCGCTTGTTTTGTCTCAAATCGCTTTTTTGAAACTTTGACCACACGCCAGCGCTTCATGAACGTAAAACCAGTGAAGCGACCATGAATCAGAACAATTAAATCAATTGCTTTTATACACTTCGAGATGTATCATACAGCTACGACTGTGTTCTAATAATAATCAGGTCCTATCCTAACTGTGCTTATACTACTACTACTAGAAATTAGAACCATCCTCCGGCTGAATATATACAATATTAAGGTAAGCGAATTTGAGATACGTTTCCTGTATTTTTGACTGTTTCACAACCAGCCTCTTTGGGCAGTATTGACTCATTCATTCTAATACACTCGTAAAAGCAAGCAATAACATAGAAATAAATTCAAAAAATATATTATAGACGAGATGGCCAGAGAAACCGGAATTGAACTTCTCAGATTCTTCCTTAGATTAGATTTAGAAGGAGTTGGACATTATTTGTACTTGTCTACCGCGAACTTTTCAGATCTATTGTGGGACTCCGTTTTTCAGAGTATGTCATCTAGCGTGGGGTTTTTTATTAGACTTTTATTAGTATCCCTGACAGTGGCTCCCGTATGTAGTTGCATGCTATTGGATTTTATTCGCTTAATGTTAGAAACCTGAATCTAGCCAGGCTTTACACTGTAACAGAACATGGATTGTTGTTTTGTCTTCTTGTTCACAAAACCTGCATAAAGTTGCTTCTTCTGCTGGACGCTCATGTGCCTTCTTAGGCGATAATGTCCGGTAAAAAGACCTACTGTTATTCTAACGATTTGACGTTTTTGATCCTATAGGTCTTTCGTGAACTCGGCAAATGATTCATTGATGAACTATTTGGCCTATGTCAATATTGTTCGACCATTCCTGAGACTCTCTGCAATCATTGTTTGATGGATGCCTTGCACAATGCCCTAGCAACTCCTCAGCAGGGTTTAGGGACTATAATGGCCCTATTTGAGCCTTCTCGAGCTGATACGTCGGTCTTTTCATTGCCCTGAAATCCCTCGTGGGCTTGTACCCATGCTCGGGTCACCTTGTTTTGATTACTCAGCTCTGCCAGGTGTTCTAGGCAGTCTTTCACCAGTCGTTATTTGATTTCTGGTGAGAGAATTACCTTTAGAGCTGCTTGCTGTCTGCTACTTGCTGATTTAATATTTCTCTTGCACAGTGTTGCGTCTGGAACACTATTGCATATTCTTCTAGACTCAACGAAATCATTGTTTTTGACTTGGGTCTATAGATTCCAGCACCAGTTCCTTCCTTGGTTTTTGAACTGTCTGTATACCAGTTCAGCCTTTACGGGTGGTACTTATTTCCAGGATTTATTTTCGGACTAGTATTTGAATTTGAAAGTTTCTAGAAGATCAAACACCAACAAATGATCAAGTTGGCCCAGATAAATGTGATGAATCCTTTAACTATAAAACTTATGGGGATCTGCGGCATAATTATAAAAAATATACTGCTATTGGAAGTAAAAAAAATATATCTGCACATAGTCAGAGTACAATATACGCTCCGCTATTTTACGATGCTGATGACGACGTGAAAGTGGTAAAGTGGTATTGCGAGGATTCGTGAACCATTTATTTTGGAAAGGTCGTATTGTCCCGCTACTTGGTAAAAAACTACCACGTAAAACTGAAGGAAGCTGTCGTTGATTTTTATTCTAAACACACATAAGTAATGTTGGTCTAGAAACTGATATATATTTTGTAAAAACTTTACAAAAATTAAAAAAATCATAAAATAAAAGTTTTCTTTTTAATTATACATTATATGTATATACCCGATCATATATATTATGGATATACATGTATATGTAATAAATATGGCCTTTTCTTTGCAACAAAAAGCAAGAAAGAAAAATGTCTGCGCTTGAAATGGAAAAATCCAAGATTCATTAAATATTCATCTAGACCAGGGGTGCACAACATATGGCCCGCCAGTGTCGTTTTGGCGGCACGCCGGTCGTTGACCAATTTGGCCCTCCTACGTCAAATTATACATTTTTCATTAACAAACTTGCATTTAGGCTGACGACCTTTTTTCTTAAAAAATTCGATCATCAACATTATAAGCTGACGAACTTTTTTTACTTTTTTTAGAAGCTCGACTAGCAGGAGTTGGTTTATAAATGAAAGGTGTTTTTTTAGAACTCTGAACCGCCTATTGTAGGTTCAGGCTTCTCTTGGCGGCCCTCGTACAATTAGGGTTTTTCAAATCTGGCTCTTTAAAAATCTGATCTAGATGAACAGTTACGATTTTGGGCCAAACATTTTCTTGTTTCTAGACAACAATTCTACCATTTACCACTTACGACGTTATCATACCGAAACTTTCTTTCCTTCCTAGCATCTGTGTGCTAAGCGTTTTCTGCAGAAAGTTAGAGAATATTCCCACTGGTCACAATTATAAGGGTACGTTTCTTAAAACAACAACAACAACAACAACAACATTTAAATTACCTCATGTGCGAAATTTGTTTTCGAAGGCAGATTCAGATGTAAATGGAGAACATTGAAAAAAATGCATTAATTATGTTAAACAGGTGAAAAATTTATTTTAGAAAGTGAATATAGCTATATAAAACTTAATAGACCACTTAATAGACCCGATAATAATAAACCATTAACAACATTATTTATTGGTTAATTTAAATTCGTTCAATACTAAAGTGCAACAGTTTTGTCAGAAGCATAAGGTTTATTTTAATTTTTTTGTAAATAATATAATTTTTTTTATTTAAAATTTAATCTACGAAGTCCGTATAAACCATTTCATATACCAAGACCCTATTTATATTATAGAAACTTATTTTTCAAAGTACACCTACTGAATGTGACGTTATATTCCTACTTTTACTGCACTCCTCTTTTATTCAGACTTTACTTTTACTTACTTAAGGCTAAATAATTAAATTCATCTGTTGTTCTTCCACATATATAGGGTACTTGTTTCATCTTGCCACTAGTAATCAGACGAATAGGATGGTTTGCTAAAAATCTGGGCTCGCCTACATCAGGTTCAATTACTGGAGACCATATTAAAATAGGATCTGTTCCAAATTCCTATTAACACAAAAATTTAAATAAAAATAACTCTGTCATTTTGTTTGACTTTTTGAAATGATTCTGGAGTAATTTTTTTTTAAGCTATTGCGTAGGTTTTATCGCGGGCTTTGAGCGCGGCGACCGAATTAAGAAATTTCGTAACGACCGTAACGAAAATAAACCTAACACCCTCCACTCCGACCGGCAGAGCGGTACGGCGTTGAATGCCGTGGAATGTTTTATCCGAATCCGACCCTATTCGTATTAGTATGAAGCGGAGTTAAATATATGTCTGCGGACTGGAACGTTTATGCAATACAAGAACTAGAAGAGCTTTCTCTGGCTTCTAATAAATTGGTATCATAAATGTTCCCGGCTGGCGTAAATATTAGATATTAATATTTTTAAGCTATTGCATAGCTTTTATCGCAGGCTTTGAGCTCGGCGACCGAATCAAGAAATTCCGTAACGAAAATAAAGCAGAAAAATCGAACAATCGAAAAATCGAAAAATCAAAAAATCGAAAAATCGAAAAATCGAAAAATCGAAAAATCGAAAAATCGAAAAATCGAAAAATCGAAAAATCGACCATCATTGACGCGGTATTTTTCAGATAGGGGAGAGCGGGGCAAGACGGGGACGCTAAGGTTGAGTCTAGCTTTTGAGGTGAATTTATTTGAAAGTAATAAAAATAAAAATCTCATCCTAAACTTTGAAGTGTATTCTATTATAAAATACATTTAAAATGTATGAAATAAAAACATAATAAATAAAAAATAAATAAAAATAAAAAAGTACGCTTTACACCATCTTGCCCCACCAGTAGGGCAAGACGGAACAACCTACTAGGCAAGACGGGGTAGCTTTGATATAGCGGATGTTTTATATTCTATTCTTTGCATAAATCACAAATATGCCTAACTTCATCGTCATCGTCGTCCTCTCCAGCGCATGAGCAGTGATACATTAAACAAAACCTTCTGTTGATTCGGAATATGGGTAGTCGCAGTAAAAACAGTAAGTTTCGTCACCATTTTCTTCTTGATCTTCCGAATCGCTTGATAATTCAGCTTTACGTCGTTTGGTTGCTTTGCTTGCAAAAATATTCTTTACACATTTTTTGGCTGCGGCTACCTTCTTAGTTTTTGATTTAATCTTAGGAGTCTTTTTCATCACTGTTTTGACTGAAGCTGAAAGTTGCTCCTCCAGTTCTTTTTTGTAGGGAGTTGATGTTAAAACTGTAGCTTTATTTTTTTCTCTTGGTCTGACGTTTCTTGGTGTGTCCTACGTGAGGAACTGGCAGAACATCGGTTATAGAAAACTTATCAAAAGAACTTTTGGATGAGAGAGGTCTGTCATTCTTTTTTGGAGGTATTACTTCTGGTTCCCAAGACGGTCCAGCAATAGGTTCTTTTAGACCTTCATGTTCAGCAATAGGTTGTTTCATCCCTTCATAGACTGGGTTTGAAATCATATCTGCAGTTGCAGCGGTAGCTTCTAGGGGATTTGTTATGTCTTTTTCAGTTACGTTGTTTTGAACTGAAATATCATTTGGCTTTTTAACTTCCGTTTCTGCTGTAACATGTACTTTTTCTGGAACATTGGTTGTCTTCGCAGGTGCAAAGTTAGCATCAGAAAAAATCTCGGGGTTAAAAGGCCAAATTCCGGTTGCCCTAAACCCATTTACAGCAGTAGACATGGTTGCCGCTTTTATAAAAGCGTTCCCAAACAACTCAGCAAAATTGAATTGTGTCGCCACACGTCCTGGATGGCATCTCAACCAGTTGTTAATTTCTTGAGTGTAGTATTTGCTCAAAAGATTCATAAATGACACATCTAGCGCTTGAAGCCTGTAAGTACAATGCGGCGAAAAGCTAAGTAGAATTACATCATGATCTCTGGCATAATTGATTAATTCTAAATTTTTGGTATGCGTGAAATGCCCATCGAGTAAAAGAAGAACTGGGTTTTCAGAGGTGGCTCCAGATTGCACAACAAATCCCTTAAACCATTTAAAAAAGATATCGCTTTGCATCCATCCGGTAGGATAACTATCAGCTTGAAGTGGCAGCGGAGATCCATTTAATAAGTCTGGATTTACCCTTTTTCTGGGGTAAACCAAAAGTGGTAATGTCCTGTAACACTGAAACACACCTCAGCTGTTATAGTGTTTCCTCTCTCTGCCGATGTCAATATTCCAACCTACCTTTTTCCCTTAAACGAAATGATTTTTGACTGCGTCTTGGGCACAATTGTAACGCCAGTTTCGTCAGCGTTATAAATCCTGTCAGGTGTTAACTTATATTTTTCTAAGGTGGCCCCAAGAAGGTCAAAAAATTGGAAAACAGCGACTTTGTTAAACCCAATTGCCCGTGCTGCACTTGTTGCTTCCGGTTTTCTTAAAGAAAGATTGGGGTGTCGTCACAGAAACTGGGTTAACCAATCTCTCCCTGCGAGCCGAGTTTGCTTGTTAAAATTGTTAGGTATCTGGTTCATTTCGGCCAAACGAAAAGCAGCATGGCGTAGGTAGTACGGTGTTGACCCAAATAATCGCTCTTCCATTTTCTTTAAATAATCAACCATCTCACCCTCCTGTTCTTTTGAGAAAATAGTCTGAAATGGTCCCAATCTCTTTAAAACGGTCTGTCCTTCTTGATTTTGATTTCCCTTTTGCTCTTTCACTCGGCGCTCTAGTGTTGTTTGAGGGACATCCCATTTGTTTATTGCAAACTGCTTCTATTGCTAGTTTCATAGCTCCTTGATTCCAACAGCCCCTCTGGGTTTTCCGCTTGTATGTTCTTACCATAACTAAAATAGAAAACTTCTATTGATTAAGACGTAAAACAAAATATTTCAACAAAAGGGCTATAGATTTATAAATTCTTAGTAACGCAAAACAACAACACGCCACCGAAATAACACCTGCTATCATAGCGAGATGGATTTTTTATTTATCTAAACCAGGCCATCTTGCCCCGTGTGGTTTGTCCCCGTCTTACCCCAAATTACTCTTTTAACTTTTTGTTTAAAAATTTAGAGAATAATTAGTTCCAGATAAATATTGTTTATTGAAAATTATTCTTAATACATACCTTTTTAATTTAAAAAACTTGCACAAAAAAAATCTGAAAACTGTCGACACCACCGACCTCCAAATAACAACTTAATCATCTAAGCACAAATGTAAAACGTCAAATTTTCACGCTAACATTTTCTCAAGTTAGCGCCATCTATCCGATTGACTTTAAAGTTTCAGGAGTAAGAAGGAACATGCCAAGGTATCGTTTTCTGTAGTTCTCATTTACAAATATGCTACAAGGGGGTAGAGGGGGTACCCCATCTTGCCTCATGGCCCCATCTTGCCCCGCTCTCCCCTATTTAGAGGATATCAAGTATTAAACGTGTGTTTCTTATTTCAGTTACCATAAACCTATAGTTTCAATGACAAAAATTCCTGAATAACCTACATGTATTGTAAAATTAAAAAAATATTTTAAACAATATTATCTTCTTATTTATTCAATAAAAGAAAAAAAAATGTTTTCTTATCGGACACCACGCTCAAAAAGTGTAACTTGAATTAATATCAAAGAAAAAAAATGTTTTGCATAAATAAAATAAATAATTATAATTGCATAAGTTGATAATAGTACATTATATACCTAGGGTGAGAAGTGAGCTATTATTTACCGAGCACTTTTATATCCTGAGGCGCGTAGCGCCGAGGGATATAATGTGCGAGGTAAATAATAGCTTTCTCAGCCGAGGTATATATAGAATTTTTTTTACTACTAACATTAATATATTAGCAATTTTAATTTTGACATAAGTAATTTCCTAACAATTTGTTAAATATTTCGAAATATCAAGCAGAGTGGAGCGAGCGTGTTTCTAATCAAACTGTAAAAATTTGGCATGTGTCAAATTTTGATATGATTCTAGGAAATATCCTATTGCATTTTTAATATTTTAGTGACATGGATTTATTGGTATTAATTAATAATTTTTGAAGCCTATTACCGGTGTTGAATTTTCTAGTTAGTATATATTTTTACTATTAACACTGATCTATATTATCATATTTGATTTGATTAGATTTTAATAAACCCAGCTTTAGTTATTTCCTACTTATTTTTCAAATATTTCAAAATATCAAGTAGTCTGGGAGTTTAGTTGTCAAATTAACAAAATGAAACTAATAAAATTTAGTTTTATTATTTACCTAGGCGTTTTTTTATTATCATTATTTATCTAGGGTGAGAAATATTACTTCTCATTAGAGGAATGGAGCAAATAATGGTGATTTCTCATGTAAGTAGTAAAAAAAAATGTTATGGAATAGCTTTACCGCGGCAGTCTTCGAGTGCCACACGTATTTTTTCTGCTTTATTTCCGTAATTTCTTATTTGTACCTGGTCTCCCATATTAAAACATCATCGTTCTGCGTTCTGTTTAGGTGTGCTTGGTTCTGTTGGCCTACCCTTCATAAGATCTAGACGTTTTCTGATATTCCTGCCAAACATTAACTGGTACGCATTTTCTCCTGAAGAGTTAGGGTCTTTTCAAATTTGCATTAATATTCTACTTAGTTGTAAGTTTAATCTTGTAGGTTCTGAAACTTTCTCTCCTAGAGCTCTTTTAATAGTTTGTACAAAGCGTTCTTCCTGTCCATTTGTAGATATGGTGCTGTTTTGTGCATAATTCCGTTAGTTGTTAAAAATGACTAGAACCAATTTGAGGTAAATTGGGGTCCATTATCCGAAATCACTGTCAGCGCCAGTCCAAACGTTGTGAAAAGCTTCCTTAATTGCTGTACAGTCCATTCAGAGGTTGTAACTTTTATTGGTATGGCCTCTATCCACTTAGTGTATGCATCTACTACAATAAAAAAATACGTATTATTCATGGGCCCCGCAAAGTCGATGTGAATTCATTGCCAAGGTTCCTGCAGTAATTTCCATGGATGGAGTTCAGTTTTGGGTGGCCCATTTCGCTTAAGGTAGCATTCTCTACATTCACTCGCCATCTTTTCTATATCATTATCTAGTTGCTTCCAATAGCAATAACTACGAGCCCATGCTTTCATTTTTGTCATTCCCATATATCCTATGTGTAATTCAGTTAATACCTTTTGTTGTAATGCCATTGGTATGACCACTCTTAAACCTGGAAATATGCAGTCGTCTTGCAATGTATATTCATTATTTTTGTATCCTAATAAGTTCAAATTTTCTCCATTCTTCAACTTTTGTAATACTTCTTTCAATTTTTTATCTTTAAATATTTTTTTCCTAATTTGATAATAATTTGATTGAGTTGAAAAATTTCACATTGGTCTTTGTAATTGTCCAACTTTTCGATTACTGGAAAACGTGTTAAAAAAAATCAGCATTTGCGTGTTCTGTAGTTTTTCTGTATTTAATGTCATAATTAAAACCTGATAAAAAGTAAGCAAAGTGAAACATTCTTGTTGCTTTCATTGATGGTAAATTTTTTGAGGGGTTGAAAATTGAAACCAAAGGCACATGTCAGTAATTAGCATAACTTTTCTGGCGTAGCGGTATAGGAAAAAAAAATTAAAGCCCAGTATATAACGAAATCACTGTCGTTATCTATTTGACTGTAATTCTTCTCGCTTTTTGTTAATGATCGTGAAGCAAATGCTATTGGCCTTTCAGTGCCGTCCCGCATCGTATGAGACAATACAGCACCTAACCCAACTGGATTATAGTGGACAAGAGTACGTTCGCTGGTTATCTCTTGTTTCATCTTCTTAAAACACTCTTCACATTGGTCATTCTATATACAGGGTGTTAAAAAAAAAGTGTCACAAAATGAAATGGTGAATAGTATGACCCAAAATAAGCAGAAAAGTCTTAATAAATATATAACCGCAAATTAACGGTTTCGGAGATACGGACCATTTTGTGTTTATAACAATTTTTTATTATTATAAAAAAACAATGATATTTATAAACAATCAATAACAACATAGAGTTAAATGAGATGTTCAAAGTGCCCTCCCTCCATTTCAATGCATTGCCATTTGCACGACCGTACATAAAATGCATGTCAGCTAATTCAATAGTAGTGTAAACAGGCATAACGAAAATTTATAAAATTATTCACCCACAACAAAATAATAACTGCAAATAGTATCTATGAAAAAACATCGGTAGACTCCAATAAGAAAAGCAAGTTTTTGAGAATGAAAAAAGATAATCAAAAAATGATACAAAACACAAAACACTCCGTATCTCTGAAACCATTCATTTGCGGACATATGTTTTCTGCATATTTTGGCCCATACTACCCCCCGTTTTATTTTGTGACACTTTTTTTAACACCCTGTATATACTTTGCATTCTTTTGTAAAAGTTTGTTTAGAGGGCTTAAAATCATTACGAGGTTTGGAATAAATTTATTGCAATAATTTGTTAATCCTAAAAATGTTCACAGTTGTGTTATATATTTTCTGATCGTTTAGCACTCGTTATTGCACTGCACTTTTCCTTCGTTTTATGTAGTCCACTTTCATCAATCATGTGGCCTAAATATACAATACTCCGTTGATAAAAATTACACTTTCTTTTTTTCTTTTAAAATCTTCAACACTTGACGAAATCGTTCCATAGTTATCTCAAATGTGTTTTCCTGTATAATGATGTCATCTAGGAAACACTGAACACCTTCATGTTCAGCTAAAATTCTATCCATATATTTCTGCCATAGTCCTGGGGCTACTTTCACCCCAAACATAAGCCTATTAACTTTATAGATGCCCTTATGTGTGCTTATGGTTTGTAATTTGGGACTTTCTTCGTTCATTACCATGTTTAAATAGGCTTGTGTTATATTCAATGTGCAAAAGTACTTCCCAAAATTGATTTTGACAAATTTTTTAGCTGGAAAAATTAAAAAACTTTTGATTAATAAAATACTGACCCTAAATTGAAAGAGAGCATTTGCGAAATCTTCTGCTGGTTTTGTTTTTAAACAGTTAATAATATTTTTTGATGTGTCATCAGGACATCCAAGAATTCTTGCTTGTTTCTTTGCGATATCTGTTTGATTATGTGGAAATTGCCAAATGCCCAAAGATGAACCACTTAAAGACGCTGCTTTATGAAACAAACCTAAATTTACAAAAAACATATATAAATACAGTTCATCAATTTTCTAGAGGCTTTCGACAGCTAGACAGAGAAAGCACTACTGACAGGCATCCCGACGGATTTACGCAATGAAAGTACACTCTGCGCATCAAGTATTTCACTATTTCATTCAGACGTAAATGTCAGATGTAAATTTCGCTAAAACATTTCTTTTATTTTCGTTTGTGTTTTTTGCTCATTACAGTTTAATAGAACCTAAGTATGGAGTTTAATAGCAAATTAAGAGGCCGCGTGATTAACAGTCAATCTCGCGAAATAATAGCCAATGTTATAGAGTTTATGAGAAGAGAAGGAAACTTTAATTCACCTTCAATACCATTTAAAAATGTAAATGATCGTGTTGCTGCAGCCACAGGAGTATCTAAAAACACTGTCGTCCGCATTTCTGGAGAGAAAAAAAGAATCGATAACCGTGAGATATCGGAATTTTCATCACCAAGAAAAACCATTAAAAAACCAAAAACAGTTAATGATATAGATGAAGCTGCACAAGAATCAAATTTTATTTTTTTGTTATTAGATAGCTATTTTTGTTTCTGAGTTGTGTTCATTTACAGGCTCAATTTTTTTCCGTTTCTCCTTTTTGATTTTATATGGGGTTTCAAGTTGTTTTTGACTTATTTCGACGTAAATCACAACAACACACTTTTTTAATAAAGCAAACAATTGTTAAGAGGTATATGTACGTGTAAACTACAATTACAAAAAATTGATATGAAACCCATGAAACCACCAACAAAAATGTAAAGCTAGCTTCCGTACTAGAACATGGTGTCATTCGTCGAGATAATTTATCGTTTTGTTTAATAGATCAAGAAATGTAAATATTCCCCTGTTATTTTTTATAAAATTATAAGAGAAATAAATTTTTTTCTAAATAGTATAGTTTATTATTTTGTAGAAAAACAAAATTTCGAAAATTTTAGTAATGTTTCAGAAACAACCGTTATTAATAATAGGTACCATTTTCCTTAATAAGGAAGAAATAAAATATAAACTATTTCCACGATTTACAAAGGCCTACAAAAAAATTATAGGTATTTTCCGCTATCCTATAAAATTTATATTTTCTGACTCAATTTCAAAAGGTTGAAGGAATTCCAAAACACCTTTTATGGCATAATAATTATTTTCAATTCTACATACTATCTTTAGCTGCTTTTAAAAACGTTCTAAGAAAGTCCAATCAGACCAATTTAATCCCTAAACTATTCCACACTTTTAAAATTTAATTACCTAAAAATATTAAAAACTATTTAAAATAACTTGTTTAGCAGACTATACAATAGCTATCTTAGTCACACGTAGCGCGTTCTCTGTCTGGGCGTCGAACACCTCTAGAAATTTGATGAACTGTAAACGATAAAAGTAGAATTTATATTACATCTTATTTTATTTAAATTTAAACTGGAAACATAGTATTATTAAACATACCTTCAGAAAGAGGAGAAACCATGTGTAAAACAACGCTCCATGCTCCAGCACTATATCCCAATATAGTTACAGAATGGGGATCTCCACCAAAATGCTCAATGTTTTTCTGTACCCATTGTAAAACTACGACCTGATCTTTAAGTCCATTGTTTCCAGGGGCTTCTTTGTCTCCAGTACTTATAAAACCTTAAATTATTTATTATAAATACATTTTTAGATAAGCAAAGGATCACTTAAATTTTTTTTGATTAAATTTAAAGTTCCCACTTGTAAATTTATCTGAATTTATTTGGCATTTGAGGCAGGAAAATGAAAATTTTAAAATAATAGTATTTAAAAAATTGAATTTTTTTTAATAATTTTGTATGAAAAAGAGTTCATATTACAAATCTTTTATTTTTCATATATTTGTTGTATATCACAGAATTTGTATTTATTGAACTACAAAGGCGGCCCATGGCCTACTATACGAGGAGGCTACAGAAGCTATTTTTGAAAGGCACAACCTATATACTTAATACAAATATATTGATATGGAAATTTCTGGATGACGTCTCAAAATTTAAAAATTTATAACAGCTTAATTTGAGCGTCTCCTATTGGTTGAATCAAACCTTTCTCAAATTTCTATTTGTAGTAGCCAACGATAGCCCGTAAGAAATACCCGTACACGCGGACTGGGATATCCACTAGTAATTCTGTGATTTTGTTCAACTTATATTCTAATTAATTATTCGGCACGCTTCTATGTGTCATCGCCGTGTTGACTGAGCACAGATGGACTTTCGCTGAATTTTAATTATCACTGATTGTTTTAAAAATGTCCTAATTCCCTTCCTTATTCCAAAATAAATGTCCCAGTATCACTACACATCTTAGAACTAATTATTTATAATAAAAAATAATAATAAATAAATAACTAAATAAATAAATAAATAACTACCGCAATAGTATTTTATACATGAATTACTGTTTGTTTGTCCCTTATTGGACTATTTATACAGTATGGTTCAAATGAAAGGAATAAATTCATTATAATGGAAGTAGCTGGTTTTTCGAAAAAATGCTCGGACAAGTCAATTTTGTTTACTTAAAGCGCAATTTTTTAAATAAAATTCAATTTTCCCCCACTTCCCATTTTTGGGCAATGACGTCATTGACAATTTTTTTAAATAGCAACCCCAATTTTTTTTTTCTTGATTTTGATAGATCTTGCAATTTTCTACTCGGAAACATAATATTTGAAATATCTGACATAACAATTTTTTTTGAAAAAAAGTCATTTCAAGATTAGATACATAAATTTTATGTTTTTTTGAAACACAATAAATTAATAACAGATAATTATTTGTAATTAAATGCTTAATCTAACAAAATAATAATAAAAATAATTTGTGAAATTGTCATTAAATTCGTTTTATTATTATTATTATTTTTTTAAATTAAGCACTTAATTACAAATAATTATCTTTTATTAATTTATTGTGTTTCAAAATAACATAAAATTTATGTATCTGATCTTGAAATGACTTTTTTTCAAAAAAAATTGTTGTCAGATATTTCAAATATTACGTTTCCAAGTAGGAAATTGCAAGATCTATCAAAATCAAGAAAAAAAAATTGGGGTTGCTATTTAAAAATATTGTCAATGACGTCACTGCCCAAAAATGGGAAGTGGGGGAAAATTGAATTTTATTTAAAAAATTGCGCTTTAAGTAAACAAAATTGACCTGTTCGAGCATTTTTTCGAAAAACCAACTACTTCCATTATAATGAATTTATTCCTTTCATTTGAACCATACTGTATGTTTTTTACCACATGCAAAGTATTTATTTATTTACTAATGTTTGAAATCATTTTTAGATAATTAATCTTACACCATCCCTACTATCTGACCTGCTAATTAGAATTATACGTTTCGAGACTCCAATTGTACAGTCTGTTCGCTATATTTACGCGGGTTTCGGATTAAAAACTTTATCAGGTAAGTTAAATGAAATGAAAAATAATGTACAACTTTTTAATTAAATAATAATGTAGAATCTTTTGTATAATTGAAAGCAGAATTAAACTTCTTCATTAATGGAGTCTAATGTGGCTATTATAAACCTAATAATAATTTTATATTACACTTCACACAGAAAATATGGTCTATGTATAATAAGAGGGTTATTTAGCTCAAACAAAATACTTTCAAACATAAAAATTTGTTTCATGTAGAGAATTTCAAATGAAAAATAAAAAAATTGAACTTGCCAATAAAAATGAAAATCAGTCATTATCATCGAAAATATCATAATCATCATCATCACTGTCATCACCATTAATTGTTATTATGATTGGACTTATTTCGTTTATTGTCACGAGTCCACCAATCTTTTATTAGTTTCTCGCACTTGGATATACAGTTCCGCCACACTTCTGGAGTTGCAATTGAAAGTGCTTTTCGCCAAGTTTCCCGAACTGCGTCGTCACTATAACCATTAGGCCCAATATGGTTATCATAATATTGTTTTGCTATTCCCCATATATATATATATATTCGATGGGATTAAACTGGCAATGATACGGTGGCAGACGTAAAACTTGATGACCGTAACTTTCAATAATCTGATCCACAACAAAGGTTTTTGGTTTTGCGTGTATATTTGCCAAGCGTAATAATTCTAATTTTAATATATATTGAGGAAATCGTATATGTTCCTTTGTCAACCATTCTTTAATTTTATCAATAGTGCAAGAATTCGTTGGACTTTTGTTTAATACTTCAGAATGGTACCTGCATTGTCTAAAATAATTACGCTGGGCTCACTTAAACCTGGGAGAAGTTTTTCATATAACCATTTTACAAACATTTCTGTATTTATATTATCGTGATAGTCACTGGATTTTAATTTAGATGAAAATATTAAATCAGCACCTTCTATAAAACCCGATTTCCCTCCTGCATGTAAAATTATGTGTCGCTTCCTTTCTTCATCGGTATGTTTGATGGACTTTACGTTATCATCTTACCATATTCTCTTGGTTGCACCCCTAGAAAATATCCATGTTTCGTTTAAATATATAAAATTCGCTCCTTCTTCTTTAAATTTGGAATATTTTCTTAAAAAGTTAATTCTCTTGTGCACGACAGAACTTCTTTCACAAAGGGACTTTCTGTTATCCTCCTTTTGAAATTTGAAACCCAAGTTATGTATCACTTGCCGTAGACTTGTTCTGCCAATGTCGTCAAATTTTCTATCTAGTAATTCCGAGAGAATTGTATTTAAGGACACATGTTCCTTGTTGGCCCTCATTCGATAAATGGTATCACGAATTTCAAATTTCTTTCCATCTGGAATATCTTTCGTTTTCAATGATGGGCGAGTTTTGCGGTGATCTTCTTTCGGCAATTCACTATTGTGATTTTGTAATACTCCTCTTAATTTGGTTTCATTAATTCCTAGAGCATCGCATACGCGTTGTTGTACAGATATTACCGATTTTAAAGGACCGCCAGTTTCTTTTTCATCCGTAAAATACTTGTGTACACTACAAATTAGACTATTTACATCTAACACACGTCTAGAAATTTTTAAATTTCCACTAAATTTACAATATACATACAATGTCCAACACTTGCAAAGAATCAATTTAACTGCAATATTTGTAACAAATTTAGTACCTACCCTAATGTTATTTTAATTTAAATCTGACCATCAGGGCAATTTTACCTAATTTCTAGAGAAGAGGCTTATTGGAACTGGTTGTCAACAAAGTATATTAACCGTTGAGTAGCGACAGCTTGGAAACCGAATTCTAGTGCGCCGACGCGAAATAGATCTAAAGATGCAAACAACCCCTTTCACTTTAGTCCGGCAGCTGATGTAGGAATTCGTTGTTGTGGATTTATTAGTCAAAAATTGTATTCAGCGACATGCTTAAACAACGCGAAATTTAAAGTTTGAGACAACACGATTAATAAATAAGGTCCATAAGTATTACTTTCTATTGTTATCAAAAATCAAAACCCTGTGCACCTACCAACTTTTAAGTTTCTAGCTCATCCGAACGTAGGTAAAAAAATTGAAATTTATCAATAGTGATATATATTTTTATATTTATTACATAAGTTAAATACTCATAAATATAAAACTGCCTAATAACCAAATCTTTATTATAAATGTAAACAACAAAAGAGTTTTACTTAAAATTACGTCGAGCAGTGTAAACATCACATTCAAGACCAGTTCATAATTCGAGCAGTGTTTTAGTGTGTCGTTCCGTCAATAACGTCAAAAGAGAAAGAAAATTTGCGCCACCCAAGATCAAAGGCAACGACGCTTTATGTCGCTACTCAACGGTTAATATACTTTGTTGTCAATGACTAATTTGCATAATTTTGTTAATCCGAAACCCGCGTAAGTATAGCGAACAGGCTCTATCTATACCTGATGTCAGATGTTCCCTTCATATTTTACAAAAAAGTCATTTAAATTCGTGGTACCTGTCGGGTAATATCTGGCAGCCCCGGATCTAGGGGGGGCAAGCCGGATCCCGTGCCTCGGGCGGCAAATTCAGAGGGAGGCAAATAGTAAAATAGTTTTTCTTATAAAAAGGGTTTTGAAATCAATTCATAGATAATCAAAATTTATTTGAATTCTATCTGTGCAAAACAGGTCAAGTGTTTATAGGGTCTTATTACCTGCTTAATCCATAATCGAATAAGTTTCCAATTGCCCAAAACGTTGAGTGATTTTAAAACGGTATTAGCTTTAAAAATTCCCAAAATGAAATACCTGTTAAGCATATTAGGCACCTTTTGTATTACCTGTCATAATCCATAATTATTTTAGTAAGAAATCCTTCTAATGACTTTAGAATGAATCTTGCTTTGGGGAAAACAAATATCTGATTTGTGGAAAGCAGTTAACTACCTGCAATTAGAATAATATATAAAGGAATAAAGCTACAATCTAAATTTATTGTGCTATTCATTTTTGAAAAAGTTTGTTCTTGAAGTTATTGGTACTTTGTGTTTACTGAAATATTTTTATTACCTATATATTTTTGTGGATGTTATCTGTGTTCAGTGTTATTGTTTTTATTATTATATAGCAATATGTATCTTATATTACTTTATATTCCTCCCTCCACTAGTAATGATATATACGATGTCTTTTATGATATTTTATGTAATTACGAATGGTGCAACAATGATGAAGAACTGTTAATATTAGGGGATTTTAATATACCACATTATCATTCTAGTCGTAATGACATTACTTTGCAAAATGCTAGTATAGTTGCACTTGATAATTTTACCGAATTATTAGCTTTAAGACAATAAATTAATACTCTTAATTTTAATAACCATTTACTCGATTTAATCTTTAGTAGATCTGACATCGCTGTAAATCGTTCACTTGATCCATTAGTTGACGAAGATATTTTACATCCTTCATTAGAATTTCAACTATCTCTTTCTCAAATAAATACCAGTTTTGCTATGTCTAGTAAAGTATCTTACAATTTCAAAAAGGCAAATCTTCCTCAACTATACCAGACTATCTGTAGAATGAATTGGAGTAGTTTGAATGCATGCGCAACTTCTGAGGAGACTTGTGATTTATCCGCAATTGCCGCTAATGTTCCAAAAACTGTACCAAGGTGCAATTCAAAATACCCTCCTTGGTTTAATAGAAGTATAATTTCGGATTTGAGGAAAAAATCATCTCTTTATCGTTTGTATAGAAGGCCACTAGAGGCTGAAATTTATACTGAGTTTAGGTCCAAAATTAAACGCGACATTTCAATCAATTACGGGAATTATTTGACAAATATTGAGAATAGAATATCTTCTAACCCCAATTATTTTTGGCAGTATATAAATTCAAGGAAAAACTGCAGTAGTATTCCAAATGATATGACTTTTGATAATAATCCTTTAAATAATTCACAAGACATTGTCAATGCATTTGCTACATATTTTCAGTTATCGTACACTAATTCGTCTAAAATTGATATTTCTAAACTAGATAATGTTGTTAATATTAACAGTTGTAATTTACATATATTTATGCTATTATTAGTATTTAATATTTTGTTATTATTTTTATGATGTAAATTATACTGTAATTGTAATTATTTTTGTGCCCATCCTGTAATTGGTTTTATACTGTTGGATGGTGTAACCCAAATAAATAAATAAATAAATATCTCATATATAAATGGTGACAAATAAAAAAAGGTAAGAAAAAAGAAAAAATAAATTAGACCTATCTGGGTGTAGGTGTAGTAATAAAAAAAATTATAAAAGTATGATCTCCTAACAATCAGATTATTTCGATTTTTTCTTTTAAAGTTATTGGTATTTTAAAAAACTATAAAATGACTGATATTTAACACTGTTAAAATGTTACTTTTCAAGGCACACTAAATATAAAATTAAATAGAAAAAAAAATCATTTTCGTGTATTGTGACAGGCTCCTGGTTCACCTACAGTGAATCAGCGAGTCTGTGTGGCGCTATGAAGGTGATTCCCGAATAGGGGTTGCTCAGGCGCCAGTTTTGGTATCGCAGTTTACTCTGCGACCCTGAAGTATACCAGAGTATACTCAAGGTAAACTCAGTGGAGGTAAAAATAATTCCAGGCGGTCACTGCTAGGTATCCACTATACTAGAATAAAATAAAAATAAAATACTTATCTTCTTTCTACCTCGTACCCTACGGTACCCTGAAAGAGAACGGTTAAGAACCAGTAATAAGAGAAACACAGGAATATGTAATAAAATATATATTTACAAAAAAATTAATATACCGGTAATTATATTTGAACGGCTCTCTGCATTCGGAAAATCTATTCTTTAAAAATAAATTATTAAAATTGAAAAGTATTTAAACATTGACGGATACCTATATCCGAAAAATTGAATAAAAATAAATTATTAAAGTTGAAAATTATTTAAATATTGACGGATCCCTATATCGGAAAATTTAATAAAAATAAATTATTAAAGTCGAAAATTATTTAATCATATAGAAATATTTATGGTATATTAGCTCAGGAGGCTAATCGGACTGGGAATCGTGAAATGCCCAGTATACGGAAAATGTAGGAAAATAAATTATTATTATTAAAAACAATTTAAATATGACGGTAATTAAATGCAAACAAATAAAAAAATGAACTCAAAATTGTCGGAGACCCCTTGTATCTTAATACCCAAGCGATGGAAACGAAAAATTCTCGCCTATTGATAAATAAGGTTTATTTACACGGTGTTTTGGACGGCGACCAAGACGGTCCTAGAAAATAATATTTTTGAATTTTGCCCAGAGTCTAACGAGAGCGTATGTGTGAATTTAATTTTACCGAAGTCGTCTGGCTTCATTCAATAACTAATTGTGGACGGGGAATGATTCAAATACGGCTGAATAAAAAAATTAAAAGAAAAAAAATTTTACACGAAGTGAGGCGCGGAAATTAATTACAACTTTTTTTTGGGAAATTAGACAACGTCATCAGGAGAGAGAACTCTCTAACCCACTGTAGGAACTTTATTTGATTATTCCATCAATAAAATATTTAAGCAGTTTGAAGATATATTTACAGAAGTATAATTATTGTAAAATAGAAATTAATGACATGTCATGTATATAATTGTAAAATCAAGGGGGCCACGGTGAAGTGAGCTTAATATTTATCCATCCACGACTGCCACAAAGATTGGAGGTTATAAATTTGCGGAAACTATGATTAAGGTGAAAGGTAGTAATTAGTGCAACAGTAGGCACTACACCCACTAAACGGATCGAACCTCCGAAAAAGGAAAAAAAAAATAAAACAATAAAATAATAAAAAATCGCAAACAGGTCGGATCTCTCACTTCGATGTTAACTGGGCGGTTTTTAAAAGAAATTGGATGTAGTCGTTGACAGAGACAGCACTCGGTGTCTACTCTAGGTCCAACCTCAAATAAAAAAATTGCCAACGGTTTCCCACTGAGGGATGAAATAATATATCCTGGATGTGAATCAAAATTCTTTACTTATCACACGGGTGTCCCAACTAATTATATAAAAGCCAATATAAAAAAATAATAATATACGGTTCCTACCTTAGTAGATAAACGGGGTTAATCGATGAACTAAATCACTGTACTCACAGCACTAGGTACTAACTAAGCGTGAATAGTTTTCGGCTGTCGGCAATCACGAGAGAAAAGTTTACGGCGGCTGGCAAGCGAGAAGAGAGCATAATTCCCAGATGGGATTTAATTTATGATTTTTCGGTAAAGCAAGATGGAAGACCAGTCGGCCCGAGTGGGGGGATACCACTACCACAACTGACTGTTTACAATTTAGAAATATAAAAAATGTCCTTCTTGTACCTTGACAAATAAAGGTAGATAATCGGTACGAAATCGACTCTAAAAATGCCCATTCGGAATTCGGCAAATATAAGAATATTTTAATCTACGAGGGTACTCGCAATTGTTGAAAAACGGTAATTTCTGGAAAACAGAAATACGGGGGAACTTCTACATGTTCTCAGGCGGGAATTAATTGAAATATACATGTTTAAGATTAATTAAAAATAAAATTTAGTGACTTCGTCACAGTATAGATCAAAATAATAAAAAAATTAAAAATATGAATTTTGTCATGAAAATTGGTATATGAGGTTGGGTTAGGAAAAAGAAGTATTGTACACCGAATGCAATTTTGCGGAACGAAACGCGTATCGTTGAGTTTTGCAAAGAATGAGGTTTACAAAGTCATTACAATACATATTTTTCACACTGTGTTCAACATATCAAATTTATATTTTATAGGTTGAAATTATGAGCGCGCCAAGAAAAAAACTATCGGGAGCGGAATATAGAAAAAAAAGGCCAAAGATAGATTCCTTCAGGAAAAAGAATATGCGGAAAAGATGAAAAAGTGGTTCAGCGGAGGCCGTGGCCCGTCAGTATCTGCCACAGCTTGCGAAGATGTTCAACTAGAGGATATTTCTTGCACTTTGCACGATCCTGATGATCAAAATTTATCACCGGCATCGTCTAGCCAAACTGCGAGTGTGCAAGAACAATTTGAAAGAATTGGGAGAGAATACAAAGAATCTGAATAGGATCACTCGGATTGGAATGAATGGAAAACCAAAATTGATTTGACAGACCTGGGCAATTGGTCAAACATTGAAAAAATGACCGACCAGCAACGATCTTTCTTTACTACTCAAGCTGTGTTATTAGCAGAACGTCATCCAGAAAACATTGAATTTAAATTAACTGAACGCGATGGAAGACATTTAACATATGCTATGTGGTACAAGACATTGAGCGAGTCATTCAAACCGTAAAAGAAAAATGGAGACAATGGAGACAGATCCTGCATATGGTTATGGATGTTGTATTATATCTAGCAACAAACTCTCTTTCTTTTCGTGGTTCCCATGAAAACCCTAGCGATCCCATCACACAATGTCCTCAGCCTGGTCAAGGAAATTTCTTGAATTTAATTTTGCTTCTCTTCAAACATAATTCAACTCTTAAGTTTCAATTAGAAAACTTAAAAAAGGGACAAGTATCATATTTGTCAAATACAATACAGCATGAAATTATTGACATAATGGCAAATACAGTCAGAAATGGCATTCTAAACGACATCAAAAAAGCCAAATACTATACAATAATGAACAATTGCACTCCAGATGTGTCGCATTGACTTTATAGAAGTTGCTGGAAAGACAGGAGAGCACATTTATCAACAGATAATGGAAAAGTTGACAGTTGATGGTTTAGATATCAGACAATGTCGTGACCAATCTTATGATAATGGATCAAATATGGCTGGCACCTATAACGGAGTGCAAGCCAGGAATACAGAAAGGAATGAGCTGGCCGAGTTCGTACCGTGTTTGGCTCACTCCTTTAATCTTGTCGGTGTCCATTTTGCCTCATCATGCCCGGAAGCAATAACTATTTGGATTAATTCAAAAAGTATTTTGTTTTTTTGTCGGCTCTACTACTCGATGGGATACTATGAAGAAATTTGTTAAAACCAATTTAAAAGAAAGCAGTCAGACGAGATGGTCGGCAAACATGTTGCTGTGAAAGCCCTCTTAAATAATTTTCCAGAAGTGGTGGAATCCTTGGAAGAACTTAAACAAACTTCTCATGCTCCGGAAGCAAAGTACAAGGCAGGTAGTCTCTTAAATTCAATAAAGAATTTTAAATTTATATTGAACTTGACGATTTGGGCAAATATTCTCCGCGAAATCAGTCGAGTGAATATTGAAATTCAAAAGCAAGATATATTCCTTGCGCGTTTCGTCTCTTTAATGGATGGCCTGATGAAAACTTTACAAAAAATGAGAGAAAATTCAATTGAATATTGGATAGAAGAAGCTAAAGAAGTTACTGGAAAAATTGGCGTCGAACCTATTCTACTAAATAAACGAATTCCGAGGTGCAAAAAACAATTTGACGAGATGTGTGATGACGAATCACGAACACTTCAACCAGTTAAACTTTTTTTTCAAGCAACAATGATGGTATTTGATAGACTCTTATCAGAAATTAAAAAAGGATTGGTAATGCAACCACGTTGAATTTGAATATGTCAAATGAACAACTGCAAAAGCATGGAGCAGATCTGGGACGAAAATACGAGCGAGATTTAAATGCGATTGAATTCTGCCAGGAACTCTACGTTTTTAAAGAGCAAGGTCCACTTTTATTTGGAGATATAAAAAATGCTAGCGCTTTCAATCTCTTGCAACAGATTTATACGCATGATTTGCAGGATGACTTTTCCAATATTTGTATTGCTCTAAGAATTTACTGTACGCTTCCTACTACATCCGTAAGCTGCGAGCGAAGTTTTAGCAAACTTAAACTTATCAAAAATTATCCATGATCTTCGATGTGCCAGGAACGTTTATCAAGTCTTGCCATATTAGCAATAGAAAATTAAATTGCTCATCAAATTAATTGTGATAAGGCCATAGATTTGTTTGCAGAACAAAAGGCTCGAAGACTAAAATTATAATTTCAGTGTGTAATATAGAAATAATAATAATAATTTTAACCTCATGTTTTATTTAGACCCTATCCTGTCCTAACCTATACTCAAACAAATAATGATTGAGAGTGAACCGTGTTGTCATATCTCAATTTTACCTTACTAGTTTTTAGCAGAATCAAAATAGAGTTAGTAGTAGAGTTGTAAGTTGTGGCAAATTATAGATAATATACAATCATAGTACTAATAAAAGATATTAATTATAACAAAAATCAATAATGAGTAATACTACATTTCTTGATCATTTAAAATTAATTATTTTATGGATTGTTCAGTATTTGTTACAACTAATGGCATCGGTGTACGGAGCGATATTTGTGTCTTTGTCTGTTACGCGTAAAATCCATCTCGTCGATGACGTTCTCAGTAGTGTATTTCTAACCACGAGCGTAACATCGGGTTTTAAATTATACGGTGTGAATTGTAAGTTTTACAGTTAAGTTAGTAAGTAATCGACGTGTTGTAAGAACAATTGGTGAAAATATTAGTGCTAATAAGTGTTTAAACATTAAATAATAATATTTCTACACCGTTCTAAAACTATGCAAAAAATGGAAGACATTGAAGGGCCTTCAACGTCGAAAAAGGTAAAACGGTCGAAGTCTCGGTCGCTAAGTGAAAAGCAAATTGTACTTCGAGTATTTCACTGTCTTGAAAGAGATCATCAGCGACCAAAAGATAACTTAGTGCATATGTGCTGTAATTCTACGGATGTACCTCCGAATAACCAACCGGGCGTTCCAACATCATTAACTTCCACAATTACAAAAGATAAATTAGTTGATATGTGCTCTGATTATACGGGTGTACCAAAATCATCAGTTTACAAAATACTAAGAGAAAACAAAATTCATGGGGAAGTACAAACGCCAAAAACTAGTAGCGGAAGAAAAAAAATCACAGTTGATGAAGAAGCCAAAAACAGTATACGCACAACTATTCACAGTTTCTTTTTCAGAAATGAGCTGTTCACTTTGCAAAAAGTTCTGGAGGCAGTTAGCGATCATGAATTGGTCCCACAAATGAGTAAAGAAACTTTGATGAAAATTTTACACGAAATGAAATTTACGTACGGAAAAGTCGACAGGAAAAGCATTCTCATTGAATGTCAGGAAATAATAGTATGGAGAAGAAATTATCTCCGAAAAATTGAGGAATTTCGGAATATCAAAAAAAATTTACTACATGGATGAGACGTGGGTTAACCAAGGACATACGGTCAAAAAAGTATGGCAAAATATAAAAATTTAAAAATAACTAAACAAAACAAAATAAAAATATCAATTGCATTGGATATGCAATATCCGTCATTATGATTTTAATTTAAAATTTAAGTAATACTTCTGTATGTGTAACCCAAGAAGAAACTTAAGAGACAGTTCCTTACTGACTTCGGCCGCGACATAATATATTAATATACGTTAATTTGTGAAATAAAGTTAAATTCATTATTAAAATAGTAAAATTGATAATATTGTTTCTGTCACCAAACCAACCCCTGATTAGGTACCTTTCTTATTTTTAATTTGAAATATATATTGTGATTTTTATTAATATTCTTAATTTATTTGGTTCCTACTATAATTACCACAATTATTACTCCGTTTTCATAAAGCCCCACTAATGACTACAACGATTAGGTAAATTACGATATTGCAAAGTTTTCATGAAATAAATAAAAGAAATTGTATGAATATTTTAAATAATTGTACCCTCTCAAAAATAATAAGCACGCCTCCGATTTGGTCGTATTTCTACCTGCTTTCACTCTCAATCATTATTTGTTTGAGTTTAATTAAAATATATGCCCGAGTCCGACATATACTGGTATTTTTCGAAAAAATATTGGCTTAATAGAGAAAAACAGCGGTATCCGGTAGTTGTGAGGTTCTTTGGGGAAGGCCTATGTCCATCAGTGGCGGGTGGGGCGGCATTCTTCAGTTTTTGCCCCGCCTAAAAAAAAATCAAAATCCGGGGCTGATATCTGGACATGAAATGGAATAAGGTAAGTAGGATTTTAGTTTTATATTTTAAAAAAAAATTAATAAAATTTTTATATCATTTAAATAATAGTTTGTCATATTGTTTCTTAATATTTTCTAATGATTAATATAGAAATGACTCTTAATTTTATGTTTGATTTATTAATTTACGATTAAGACTTTATGTATTTCTGTGTAATCGTAATGCTATAATTTTATATTTGGTCTTAGTAAAAGACTGATCACCACTATATATTATAACATTTATTTTTCTTTATTGTACTGATAAATCAGTTTTTGGATCAGAGACACCACATGCTCCACGGTCGGCATAAATATATGCTGCTCATTTAAGACAACACATTTCGATAATTAAATTTTTTTGCAATTTTTATAATTTGTTTTTTTTTGGACTAATAAGTATTAATATTGTACTTTTAACTTTTGAGATTTCAAAACGCAAATTCTTCACTTTACCTTGGTCACATTTTCTTGGTTTTTAATTAAATTTAATCTTGGGTTTGGCTTCACTACCGTACTTGTTCGCGGACGATTCTTTCGATACAGGGTTATCCAAAAAGTCCGTCATTATTTTAATCGTAAATTCGACCCCGGACCTCAGTTTGTCTGATCCTGAGGCACCAAAGATTTTTAACCTTGTCTGACATATACGAATTTTTGAGGTACACCGTCATCGTTGGAGCCCCAACCGCATCACTAAGACTCGAGGAGTTGAGTTCAATTATTTATAGTCGACCGTAGCTTCAGGAAGCCAGTATCAGTGAGATTTGAACTTTGTAATCCAGCTACTTCGAACTTGTCATTGGACCGTCCTGATCTGACCAAGTGTAGGCTCAAACTACCTTGTGGGACCAATTCAGCCAAAACAATCACAGGTAAGTCCTAGTTTTCAACACCTCGCAACAAGTTCAATTCGTATTTTAACGCTCTGTAAAGGAAGGCACGTGATCGAATCGTTAATCACTGGTATTTTTTTATATACTCAGGCCTTCAGCCCTTTATAGTTTTCTCTCTCAGCAATAAAACCTTATTAACATTGTTTAATTTTTACTTGGCCTTCAGCCCAATGTAATTTTTTTTAAAATAAACGTCTGAATTAAATTCAAAACTTTTGGTAAGCCTTTCCACTATCTAATTTTCAGGACTAGATTTCTTTTCGTTTATTAGAAGGTCATTATATTATCCTTAGATATTTATTCACTAGTAAATCAATTTTTTTTTCATATTTTTTTTAATAAAAATATGATGGCGCCCCATTTACGAGGAAAGGTAAAAATATTCAAGAACCCAAAGGTCGTACCACGACCTGAGATTAGCTGACGCATAAATTAAGATGAAAACTTTAAAATACACGGCTTCTTAAAAATTTAATAACATACTGTAGTCAATTGACGTTAAACACTTCAAATTAATACTAAAACGTCAATGAAACACTGCAATATTTGTAAAAAGTATATATTCAAAAGTAGCCTCCTCGAAGACTAGGCCACAAGCTGCGCCTGCTGTACTAACGTAATACTAGTTGCTTTGAATAAATCCAATTTTCATGAAAATTGAGCAAGGGCGAGAATCAATGTACAGTTCATCAAATTTCTAGAGGCTTTCGACGGCTAGACAGAGAAAGCACTACTGAGAGGCATCGGTTGGCGGGGCCGACGGATTTACGCAATGAAAGTACACTCTGCGCATCAAGTATTTCACTATTTTATTCAGACGTAAATGTCAGATGTAAATTTCGCTAAAACATTTCTTTTATTTTCGTTTGTGTTTTTTGCTCATTACAGTTTAATAGAACCTAAGTATGGAGTTTAATAGCAAATTAAGAGGCCGCGTGATTAACAGTCAATCTCGCGAAATAATAGCCAATGTTATAGAGTTTATGAGAAGAGAAGGAAACTTTAATTCACCTTCAATACCATTTAAAAATGTAAATGATCGTGTTGCTGCAGCCACAGGAGTATCTAAAAACACTGTCGTCCGCATTTCTGGAGAGAAAAAAAGAATCGATAACCGTGAGATATCGGAATTTTCATCACCAAGAAAAACCATTAAAAAACCAAAAACAGTTAATGATATAGATGAAGCTGACAAAGGTATTTTAAAAAGAATTATTCTGTTCATGTTAATCTCGGAAATAATTGTTCCAACATTAAAAACAATTCTGACTAAATTTAGAGAAGCTACAGGGTACAAAGGAAGCTATGAAAGTTTAAGAAAAATAATAAAGTCGCTAGGATTTCGTTGGCGGAAAACAAAAACAAACAGAAAAATATTAATGGAAAGGTTTGATATTCAAAAGCTACGTTTAGACTATCTGATTCGTTTAAAAAGTTATCGAGCAGAGGGCCGTCCAATTGTCTACTTAGATGAAACATACATTCATGCCTCCCACACACACCAGAAAGCTTGGAGTGATAATTCAAATGAGGGATTAAAGAAACCAATTAATAAAGGTGATAGACTAATTATTGTCCATGCAGGAGGTGAAATTGGCTTTATTCCGAATGCCCGGTTAATTTTCAAATCTGGAACCAAAAGTGGAGACTACCACGATGAAATGAATTTTAATAATTTTTCTAAATGGTTGAAAGAGAAGCTGTTTCCGAACCTCCCTCCAAGAAGCGTCATTATTGTTGATAATGCTCCTTACCATAATGTCCAGGTAAATAAAGCACCAACGTCAACTTCTAAAAAAGCTGACATGCAGGATTGGTTAAGGAATCATAATATTGCTTACGAAGAGGATATGCTCAAAACGCAATTATACAGTTTAGTGCTATTGCATAAGTCACGATTTAAGAGGTATGCAATTGAAGAAATGATAAATGAACATGGTTTTAGTTGTTTGCGTTTGCCACCATATCATCCCGATCTTAATCCGATCGAATTAGTGTGGGCATCATTGAAACAATATGTAGCTAGTAACAACACTACATTTAAGAGGCAAGACGTACAACTGTTGTGTGAAGACTTTTTTGATACGTTTTCTAAAGAGGAGTGGCAATCTCGTTGTAATAATGCTAAAATGTGGGAATCTAAATTTTATGACAGAGAAGTTACTTTGGATGAGGCAACTGATAGATTATAATTAACTTAAACAGTGAGAGTGAGACTGATTTTGAATCTGATATGGAAACTGAAGAAAGTTTTTCGGAAGACCATTAAAATTATATCTGTACCTAAGATCAAAAAAGTATTATCTATTTTTACAACGAAGATGCACAAGAATCAAATTTTATTTTTTTATTATTAGATAGCTATTTTTGTTTCTGAGTTGTGTTCATTTACAGGCTCAATTTTTTTCCGTTTCTCCTTTTTGATTTTATATGGGGTTTCAAGTTGTTTTTGACTTATTTCGACGTAAATCACAACAACACACTTTTTTAATAAAGCAAACAAGTGTTAAGAGGTATATGTACGTGTAAACTACAATTACAAAAAATTGATATGAAACCCATGAAACCACCAACAAAAATGTAAAGCTAGCTTCCGTACTAGAACATGGTGTCATTCGTCGAGATAATTTATCGTTTTGTTTAATAGATCAAGAAATGTAAATATTCCCGTTATTTTTTATAAAATTATAAGAGAAATAAATTTTTTTCTAAATAGTATAGTTTATTATTTTGTATAAAAACAAAATTTCGAAAATTTTAGTAATGTTTCAGAAACAACCGTTATTAATAATAGGTACCATTTTCCTTAATAAGGTAGAAATAAAATATAAACTATTTCCATGATTTACAAAGGCCTACAAAAAAATTATAGGTATTTTCCGCTATCCTATAAAATTTATATTTTCTGACTCAATTTCAAAAGGTTGAAGGAATTCCAAAACACCTTTTATGGCATAATAATTATTTTCAATTCTACATACTATCTTTAGCTGCTTTTAAAAACGTTCTAAGAAAGTCCAATCAGACCAATTTAATCCCTAAACTATTCCACACTTTTAAAATTTAATTACCTAAAAATATTAAAAACTATTTAAAATAACTTGTTTAGCAGACTGTACAATAGCTATCTTAGTCACACGTAGCGCGTTCTCTGTCTGGGCGTCGAACACCTCTAGAAATTTGATGAACTGTAGTTTGAGTATCTAACACCTTGTAAAAAATATGACCTGTCACCTTTAAGTTTACCTGGGCCGGGCCCGGACTAACAACGGGCCCATGTTTGACGGATTTTTACAGTTTCGTATATCTACTGCGCCATGGAAAGCAACGGGCCTACCACGGGCTGGGCCAAATGGAATCGTAGTAGGTCCGTTTGCTTTCCATCGTGCAGTAGATATATGACACTGTACAATTCTGACGAACTTGGGACCGTTGTTGGCCTGGGCCCGGCCCGTTATATCCATACGCAACTTTATAATTGATTTTTTTTTAAACATAAACTTTAGCATCAGACGTAATCTGTTAAAAATATTAATAAGTTAGAAAAAACTCACCTAAGGATCCAAGACGATAATTAAACGTTACAAAAACAATATCCTGGTCCATAAAATATTGTGGTCCTGCCCAATTGCTAGCTGAATGAGCAATATAGAAAGCTCCCGGATAAATATAAATTATTACTGGTCGTTTCGGATTATTTTTACCAGAAGGAAGCTAAAGTTTTTACACATAAAATGTTACTCTTTTGATTAAAAAACATGTATTCCATATAGGTATTTTTTATCTTACCTTCGTAGAGTAAACATTAAGAAACAAACAGTCCTCTGACATTGGATTTGAACCTGGTTGTGGACATGACGGTCCATCTTTAGTGGCATCATAAACTCCTTCTACTTTTTCTATTGGTACAGGTGGCTAAAACATATAATGCTACATAATCAAGAATCGTGTGGAAATAGAAAAATGTATGGTTGGCACGGAAATTTTAGAAATAGAAGGGTGGAGACAGTGGTGGAAATATATTGATTTTTCTATCGATAATTATCGATATTAACGTAAAAATACCAATAGCTGACACTTTGCCTAATCCTCAAACCAGAGATTGGGGAAGTGAAGATAGTAAACGCAACGACCGCAGCAACGATGGCTTCGTCTCAGATGACAGACCAGTGTTGAGAGATCGTACAAGTAGAGTAGAAAAATAGTATTTAAAAATGGTATTTCGACAAAAAATCGTACAATAGGTACATGTATACTATAAAATAACTTAAATGGAATGAAAAAATAAATAAAACTTTGGCATGATAATTTATTTATCTATTCATAAAAATGTTTACAACGAAAAAAAAAAACTAAAGAAAATAAGCTCAGTGAAGCTGGACCCCCGAAATTCGAAAATTTTAGTTTTAGAAGCGGCATACCCACTAACTTTTTTTGACCACACTCAGAAACCTGAATATTTAAAAAATAATAATGACTGAGTGCCCGCTGGCTCGCCGAAATTAATATTTTTTAAAACTGACTGCACCATAAGATTAACCAATTTTTGACCATGTTTGACCACCCATAATATTTTTTTAACAACCCTTAAAATAATTTAAAGGGGGTAAACTATAGAAAAACAAGAGTTCTGGGATGAATTTCAACTTTTAAAGATAGATCAATGGTCAGAAAGGCACAATAGGATCCCAAAACATTTAAAATTATGTATCGCCATTTGATTACTCCGTAAAATATCTTGAAAGACCCCAGAGGGGTTAAAGATTCATAGAAAATATTTTCCAATGCAATTTCTAGTTCAAAAAAATGGCCAATCGACATAAGGACATAATAAATATCCATAAAGGTTTAAAATTATGTTTTGACATTTGACCACCCCCTAAAATAATTTTAGTGTTTCTAAGTAGTGTGAAAATTCGAAAAAAAATTTGGAAATCGAATTACTCCTTAGAAAGAAAATTCAAACGACTTAAGTTTACAATAAAGATCTATAATAATTTAGAATTATATTTTGACGTTTGACCACCCCCTAAAATAATTTTAATGTGCCCAAGTAGTGTGAAAATTTAAAAAAATAAAATTTGTAAATCGAATTTCCACTTGAAAAAAATGGTCAAAAAACATAAGTTTACAATAAAGATAAATAGCGATTTAGAAATACGTTTTGACGTTTTTGACCACCCCCTAAAATAATTTTAATGTGCCCAAGTAGTGTGAAAATTTGAAAAATAAATTGGAAATCGAATTTCAGCTTGGAAAAATTGGTCAAGCGACATAAATGCACAATAAGGCCACATAATGGTTTAAAATTATTTTTTTATGTTTTACCACCCCTAAAATAGTTTAAGTGCTTCTAATTAGTGTGAAAATTCGAAAAATAAAATTTGGAAATCGAATTTCCACATGGAAAAAATGGTCAAATGACATAAATGCACAATAAGGCACCATAATGGTTTAAAATTATGTTTTGATGTTTGACCACCCCCCAGAATAGTTTTAGTGTTTCTAAGTAGTATAAAAATTCGAAAAATAAAATTTGGAAATCGAATTTCCACTTGGAAAAAATGGTCAAACGACATAAGTTTACAATAAAGATCCATAACGATTTAGAATTACGTTTTGACGTTTGACCACCCCCTATAATAATTTTATTTATTATTTCTTGTTAAAATTTTCTCTTATCTGTAAATCATTATTTAAAAAATTGTATCGTTTTTATCTAATGTTCTTGTTTCTGTAAACTGACTTACCCAGGACCGAGGTTGTCAGGGAGTTATGGTACTTTCTCAACTCGTGCGTTAGCAACTCGGGCGTAATATAAAACTACCTGAATTCGTCGCAACTCGGGCGCCCTCCAAAATTGTGCACCTGTGAGTTCGCAACTCGGGCGTCGACGGGATATGAAATTTGACCATAGTTTATGTACCCTGATTCTGATTACAATCTGATTCAGGTAGTAATAAATTATTGAAAATTTAAGAGAAATGAATGACATCGCAGAACAAGCTTTGATTTTAACAGGCATTGAAAAGTTAGTTGATGTAAAAAAATTGAAGATTTTTCCATTACGGTTTATTTTAGAGAAATCACGTGTAGAATAAAAAATATAGAACATGATATCGGGATCATTTTCAAATTATTCACGATTTCTAAAATATTTCCGGAAATAATTTGGTCACTAGTGGTATTATAAGTGAAAATAATGAGAAAAATTTCTAATTTTGCACTTTACCTCAAATTTCCCGAATTCGGTCTATTTTAAAGAAATGTATGGAACAAAAATTATAGAGAATTACATTGTAAACAACTTTTATTTGAAGAATTTTCTTTAAAATTCGAATTTTGCACTTTTTGTCTAAATTCTCGAATACGGACCATTTTAAGGAAATCATGAATATGATAAAATAATATATAAATATTACGAAACGCATCAGAAACATTTCTAAAACGTTCCTAAAATGTAAAAATATCCTGTAAATGTAATATTTCATATATTTTATAATAAATAATAATTTGAAACCTATCAGAAATATAACATACTGATATTTCAGAAATGTATCCAACAACAGACGCAAACTTCCAATTATTTAGAATATATGGTTGTCTTTAAAATAAAATTATATTACTTAAAATAAAATGACTACAACATAACCCATCTTCTTTCTCTTCTTACAAATGAGAAATTTTTCAAATCTTGGCCATTTATAACAAACATAAACCAACTTAATATTCTAAGTATAATCAATGAAAATGTTTAAAAATATGATTGCAATAAAGTAGAAAAATTAATATTTTTAGGTAAAATATAAACAAAACGTCAAAGTGTTTCGATACAATAACGTTTTTATTACGAGTTTTATGTAATTTAAAGAAACGTTAATATTAAACGTGTGTGTATTTTAATATCTAACTTTCGGTTGAACCACAATTACATAATAACATTTAAAAAGAATATTAAAATAAACTAGAATAATTAATATTAAAATAACGTAGATATTTGGTTTACATTATTAACCAAACGTTAAAAAGGTTGAAATACAATAATCTTTTACATATTATATATATATTTAACAAAATGATGAACTTTTAGTTACATAACAACGTTTAAATATAATATTAAAATATAGTTAAATAAAAGAACCACAAAATACAGTAATCTCGACCGACAAATAAATGCCATCGTGGTAGACTTAACAAACTGTCATGAAATTATTAAGTCCGACTCTGTCTAAGCACGTGGCCTTCACGTCTGGGCAGCCGATTCATGCCAGAGGCGATGGAATATTCTGGGAATGTCGCTGAGGCTCGAGAAACGGGTAGAACGGACGGAGTGTGCCGTTGAGTCAGAATTGGAATTTTCCCGACCATCGGGATTATTCTGGTTACAGAGTTGGCTTGATATAAATATCTCGTGTGTGAAGACGGCGGTCAGTTGATTATAGACAGTTTTAATATAGAACATTGTATTGGAAAGTTAAAGTGTAAGAAATAAATTAGAATTATTAGTTAGTATTATATAAATTAAATAGTACATCTGAAATAAATTGAAAATAGTGTGTTTTAAATAAATAAACTAAAAATAAATTAGACTTTCGTCACAAAACGGACAAACTGACTTGCGAAGTACACTCGAAATATTAAGACATGTTGTAAGGTTCGATTAATTTTTTTTTTATAAAACTAATAAAAAAAAAGTTTTCTATATGTTGCCAACTTACACAGGACACGCTGTACATAAAAAATGTATTAAAATAAAAATTAAATAGCTAGCCGAGGTAGGTACACTATTATTTATCAATCTAATTATTATATAAAAATTAAATTATACTTTTTTCAATAAAAACGACAATTTCAAATGTCATAACAATGTAATGTAAAGACTATTTTCGCAGAGAAAGATAAATAAAAAATCTTGTTTTATAAAAGTTACATAATATTTAAAAACTGGCAAGCTTCTCTTGTACGGCACTCCGTATATAATTTTAAGTTTAAGCCGAAGGCACCTTCTCAGGTTAAACTAAAGAGGTGACATTTATTATATTACTATAATATTGGTACTAATTCTTGAACGCCCGAGTTGCGAAGGGTATTTAATCTACCTGTAGCCTTACGCCCGAAATGCGAAAAATTAAGTATTCCGCTCGAGTTGCGACGCCCGAGATGCGCATAAATCGGGAGTTATAGGTTAGGTGAGCTTAACGTCTGCCTCCCACTAAGACTACCATAAAAAGTAAGGTGAGGCGATAAGGTAAGAAGGATTGTAAGTGATGCGCTTAAGTCACTTACCATATTAACTTAATCGGATTTAATTTACAGTGATAACATGGGAGGGAGTCTTAATACACTGAAACCGCGTACTTTAGCTATTTCATTTACAACCAAGTTAATGAACGTTTCCTTTCGCAGTCGGGCACTACTACATTATTCCGAATTAGGTAATTGTGTGTAATTTGTTGTAAAAATATTTTGGAGTTGAATACAGCATTACCAAATAATTCTGAAACCCAATAAAATTCAGGGTGTTCTGTTTAAAAAAATATATATTTTTATTTGCTAAGTAAAAGCGTAACGCTTTGTATATCCAACAAAATATTTTTAAAATATGCCCTTTCATGTCCATACAACTTTTATTTGAAACTTGTTTGCTTATCTATAACACAAATTGTTTTATCGAGCTATTAGGCACCCTGTATTAAGTTCCTTCAAATTTCTAATAGGCTCAATAGGAGTTGGGGAATACAAATACCCAACTTCTTTCTATTTTCAATTTTTAACCGACTTCAAAAAAAAGGAGAAGGTTCTCAATTCGTCGTAATATTTTTTTTTGTTTTTTGTATGTATGTTCAGCGATAATTCTTTAACACGGTGTCCGATTTCAATGATTCTTTTTTTGTTAGAAAATGGGTACTTCAGGGGTGGTCCCATATTAATTTGGTCAAAATCCAATAATTAGGTCCATTAGAAAATCCTCAAACTATTCATTTTTAATGTACGTTTAGCGGTAATTATTTACCACCTTGTCCAATTTCTATGATTCTTTTTTTGTTAGTAAGGGGGTACCTCAGGGGTGGTCCCATATAAATTTGGTTAAGATGTCGTGATGGCATCTGCACGATTTTGAAGTCGATTTTTTAAAATTACTTTTAATATTTGTTAAATTTTTAAATAGTTTACTTACTTTAAATCTTAATTCATTGATCGGTGGTTTGGCATATCGAATTCCTCTGAACGAATAAATTTGTTTTCCGAGTCTACTAGTAAGAAAAGTACCTCTTATGTCACCAAACGGCGTTGACACCAATGGTTCTCTATTATGGCTAGATTGTACACACACAAAGGCCCCAAAAAATAGTAGAAGGTTTCTAAGATGATACATCCTACAAAATTAATATACTTTTCCTTAAAAATGCATGTATTCTAAAGTACCCCACAGCTTCTTTAAGGAAAATGGCTTTCGGTTGAATCTGCTAAATTTTATTTACACTGTGTCCCAAATTTTAGTCTCTATGTTGGTATTTCGCTTAATAATATAATAGGAGATAGAAAGTTGATTAAATGGGGAATATCTTAGAGAATTTGATGCTGATTTCAAATCAATTTTCAAAAATATTAAAAAATATTCAGTAAAAACTAAAAATCTCGATTTTGTTTATTATTATTTTTTTTTTAATAGCGATTTAACATTAAATTTGACATAAATCAAAGTGTTATTAACACACTTTTTAAGGAGAATATGTTTGTGAATTTTTTTTTAAATTGTCTTTTAACTTCGAGTTACCCGCCGTAACTTTTTTAATTTGGCAACAACGAATCCATATAAAATAACACGTAGTACAATAAAGTGCATTATTTTAATACCGAATAATATTCTTATTAAATATTTGATTTTTGGTGTTCGGTCCTGACAACTGACATCCAAATCGTGTCTTGACTGCTATGTGTGAATAAAAAAATAGTGCAGTAAAAATAGATATTTAACTTTACAAAATAAGTTTCTATAACATACCTAAATAAGGTCACGGCATATAAAATTGTATATACGATTAAATTTTGATTGAAAAAAGTTACATTATTTACAAAAAAATTAAAAAACCTTATGCTTCTGACAAAACTGTTACACTTTAATATTGAACGAATTAAATTTAACCACTAAATAACAAGGAGGATTATATGTTGTTAAGAGGTTAAACTTTTTTTAATCTCTTGGTATTAAAACTAACATTTCAGTACCTAAAATCTGGTATCATTTTCATTGTTTTTTCTGAGATTTATTATTATAGGTTTCATTAAGTTTTCCACTTTCCAAAAATGAATTTTCCACCTTTTTAACATGATCAATATTCTCCATTTACATCTGAAACCGTCCTCAAAAACAAATGTCGCACATGAGGTAATTTAAATGTTGTATTGTTTCGAGAAACATAATCTTTTAATTGTGACCAGATCAGTTCAATGGGATTTAAATCTGCGTGGTCAGGAGGCAATCTGAGAATTTTAATTCCTTTTTTTCGGGCCATGTCGTCGACTGTTTATCATCCTAATTAACAATTCACCTCTTCCACAAACGCAATCTTGTTTGCGTAGATCTCCAAGCAATCTTTTATTTTGATGTTGTAAACATCCCAACTGACTCTCTTTTTTTCCTCAGTGTATTTTAAAAGTTGTTTAATTATAATTATAGTATTCAATGTTTTAATTTGCATCATTTAAGGCCGTTATTTCAGTGTATTTTACATGGTCAAAGCAGAGGTTTACAATTATTTACAGAACTTATCTTTCACTGGATGGATTTTAGCGAAACTTTGGCAGCTTATAGTAAAATGTTTAATGAGACATTTTCATTTGTCTTGCTAATTATTATATACTATTAAAAATTATAAAAAAGTGACGCATTCAAAAAACTTTACAGCATTCTACACTACATATTTTTTTGAATATTCTTGCCAAATTATAATAATTAATGATGCGTACTTTTTAAACTGTGCACAACTTACGATTTCATGTGAAATTGATAATTTTACTGCGTCCATATTCAATTTTAGTTCAGGACCTAAGTTATAGGTGTCCGATGGATCAAAAGTAGCGAAAGTTTCCACGCCGTATTGTTATATCTTAAAATTGTCTTGAATTTAGAGGAATATATATTATTATGCATATTTACAATTTACATAAATATAAATTATATATACAGGGAGACTCATTTTTCACCTTTTTCTTGATAAATATTTCTAATTTCTAATAAAATTTGGTGCTTTGTCTAAAATCAAATACTAAATTAAATAAAATTTAAAATAAATGCCTTTATACGAGGGAAATCAAAAATGCACTCCAGAGTAAAGTGCCCTTATTTACACTTTGCTAATTGAATACACTCATATAAAGTCACAAAATACTCATTTAACACGTGTACGAGAAGATTTGTGAAAATATTGGTTAAGGAATTGTGGCGACATCATAGCACCACATAGTCTTACCTTTAGTTTTGACTTTTACGTCAATTTATTTTAAGGTTCCTTAGTCAGTTTTTATTTGAGGTTGGTCAAGTGTCAATGTCAGATGGTACCATTATACATATATTACATATATTATGATCTTGGTCGATAGCTGCGTACACTAGCACCCTACTTATCCGATGGATGGTAACCAAAGAAAAAGGAAACAAAAAGATTGATTGATTACTGATTCGAAATACAAGACGTACCTTTGACACATTTTTTATATAACGCTTTTTTATATTTTAAAATAAATTATCATTATTACTGAGATCCTGATTTCCTGCTACCTACAGGAATGTAATTTTTTCTGTAAATAAAGTGTGAACTCGAAAAAATGGGCATGGGTTAATTATGCATTCAATATGTGTGCAGCAAACACAAACATGTAACATAGTATCATTTACATATACTAGATCTGTGTTATAGAGCAAAGTAACTTACATGTTACATAATAACTCACGTGATTATTATACAAAATTACTTAATTTTATTATATAGCAGGTTCCATTGATGCGTTTGAAAAGAACCTCGTTTTACTCTTTTTACTCGAAGCTAAATATTTAATTCCCCATAAACGAGAAAAATCTTGCTAAATAATTGGTAGATTGCCTATCGATAGATATCTACAAATACCCAGGTTGAGAAATTTTTCCACCTGACCAACTTAACTGAGAACATAAAATAAAAGTATGGTTGGGTATATTATTTTGCTGAACGACTTTTGCGATATAATGGGGAAAATATGGAAGTTAAAGTGTGTAGCTACATTTACGTAGGAAAGGATTAACTAAAATTTAAATTTAAATCATTTTATCAAAAACCGAAAGTGCTGTGCTTGATCTTGACCTACATCAAAGCGAGGAGTATAACGATACAAATTTACTGTTTAGAAGTTGTCATAATGTATGTTTAAGTTAGCAGCACTGCCATTGTAAGGTTTAGGTTGGCAACCCTTCCGGAAATACATAGATGACGGTGGGCATGACTCAAAGAAGTAGCGAGGGTAGAATGATACGGTACCATCTGCGCATACATTACGAGTACATAAATTATGCACGATTCAACATTTCATTCTTACACACGTAAATGACAAGGAGAGGTTTTCCTAAAGCACTGTAAACAAATTCCAGGCTTGGCTTTGTTCAGCGATTATGTTCATGTTTAGCTCTGTTTTTGTTTGTGTTGTGGCTGTAAGATTTTTTTGGCGTCAATTCTTTGTTATCTTGATGCTTATATTTGTAATTTTTTGTGTTTTGATTTCGATTTAGTATTAAATTATACTTGTTAATTATTTTTCGATGCACTATTTTATAATTGTTGCACAAAATGTTGTTAAACCGTCCCTGAATCTTGTTTACAAAATGTGCAAAACGAAATTGTGCATATGTTCATTGTGTCTATACTTTTTCATTGGCATGATTCCGTTGTTGCTCATAGAAGTTAATGATCCTAAAAATTTATTGTTATGTTCTATTAAATTAACCCTAACTAAGGTAGTTAACTGGTATTTTAATTAAAATATAGTTAACATTATAGAAATCAAACACGAACTCTACTTAATTTGGTCGATTAATAAATTATCTCTCTACAGGGAGTTTCGTAAAAATGTCACTTTTTACTCCCTTTTTATGTAACGTTCAAAGTATATATTAATTTTATTTATGTGATGTTTTACTTTCTTGAAACACACTACGATATATAGTGTATTACATTGTAAAATAGCGACACTCACTGAACCAACTTTTTGGGTCATCCTGTATACGCGTATTTTTTTATAATAATAAAATTTCGTTTATACACACTTATACAATTTTATATAAATAATTCATTAATAATTATTATTTTAGGCGGTAAACGATTTTTTAAATAAGCAGTTTTTCCATTTTAATTTAAAAAATATTCACACCAAGTAGATATAGTTACCAAAAAGATAATTGGGATTGCATTATTATAATTCACAAATGTCTCACTTTATTATTTATGAATATTAACAAAATTACTACGTTTACGTCTTAAAGTACTCGAAAATTAAGACAATCTGTATCTCAAAAACAAGTCATAGAAGATTTTTGTGCCCATAGATACTTAAAATTTTTAAAAACTACAACATACGAATAATTCAACAGATTCGTTCGAAGCTCATTTGCCAAGGAAACTGTAAAAGAATAATAGTTATGAAATATTAATTGTTAAATTATTAATAAATTAATACAGCCGCATATCTTTATAGTATTGGGTGAATGTTTAAAAAACCTTTTCAATAACAAATAAATTTATTAATTTAGTAATTGTTGTGTATGGACACTTAATAAGCATATTAAAAGATAAACATGCTTATATATTAGCTTCCCTCCATTTTTAATATTAATTTTTTACGTAAAAAGACAAAGAAATATTTTAAATAATTACCTAATTAAGTAAATTATGCACTTAGATTGTTTTATTTATACATATAACACTCTTCTACGAAGTCTACAGTGTTTATAACAAATTCTATTTAGCCTGAACTTGTTTATATTACATTGAGAGGCCATTATCTGAAACATTAAAATTTTTGTAATACTGGAAATACCAGAATGATGAATGTTGCTAAACAATACAGAGTGGTAACCTTACTTTTCAGTCATAATATAACTAAGAAGTTGTTGTTCTCAACCACTGAACTATACAGGGTGTCCTTTAAAATGTGTCCCAAAATTCTCAGGCAGATTCCTTAACCAAAAAATGGAAAAAAAGTTCCTATAGACCTATGTCCTAAAGTGCCCCCTAAGCGAGCAACAGCCTCTCGAAATCATTTTTTTTATTTTGATTTTTTGAATTTTCTTAAAAATGGAGACAAATAAAAGAACCAAATTTTGGCTGTTAAATATGATCAATAATAGTGACCTTTTGACACCTTCAAAAAGAAATTATTTCGTCAGGGGTGTACTTGGGAATTTTTTGAAAATTTTGATTATTCATAACTTTTTTGTGTTTTTGGTAATGACTTATCCATATTTTTTTTTACATTCTACATTGAAAACTACGTCAAAAAGGAATACTTGTTTGATCTCGATTGGAGCAGCCGTTTCCGAGAAAACATCATCCAAAGATATTCGTGCAGTTTAGGTTAATTTTCAATTTTGGCTGTTGTAGCCAAAAAGTTGGAAATCGAGGAACACGGCTTACATGTCCCTATCCTTACTTTTGAAGGTCTATTCAGTGGCAAAAAATATTAGTTGATACAGGGTGATCAAAAATCGGATGTGATTTTGGATTTTTGATCACCCTGTATCAAATAATATGTATTTTATGTCACTGAATAGACCTTAAGAAGTTAGGATAGGAACTGTAAGCCGTTTTCCTCGATTTCCAACTGTTTGGCTACAACAGCCACCTGAATTTGAAAAAATGTGATTTTTGAGTAGCTGTAGATCCTTTACTATTCATATTAGATAACAAGTGTGATATATCATTGAAATCAGATTATCGAGCAGATTCTAAAAATATAAAAATATACAGGGTGTTCCATTTAAAAAACATAACTTTGATTTGGCACGGCCTTATGAAACACCCTGTCACATCGTAACTAATTTTAAAATGTGAAGCTTAAAGCTGCCTATTTTTATTATAACAGATCTACAGAGCTTCCTCACACTAATCAATCACCCTGTATACTATTTTTAGCTCTCTAAATAAAATTTAAAAATTTAGTTCCCATTTATTTATTATGAAGACCATAAGGTTTGTATTTAGCTGTTTAGAATAAAAAAGTAAAAATATGTATTTTTTTGGCGTTTTTTTGTTTCATGGATAATTTTTTTCGCTCACTGATAAAAATGTTTCTTCAGTTAAACATTATTTCTAAAAGTGTTCTGGTGCGATTCGTTGTATTGTTATTATTTTGTTTAAAATGGCTCACAATAACTACAATAATGATTACACATTCGGCGAAATGACGGACATGCACTTATGTTTTGGACTCGCTTCTGGAAATGCCAATGAAGCTCGCAGACTTTATCAGGAGCGCTTTCCAAATAGGCATCTTCCATGCGCTAAGACGTTTTCTAGAATTGACGATCGACTTCGGGAAACTGGTACATTTAAGAAAAACTCTAGTAACAGTGGAAGACAAAATTATGTGAGAACTCCTGCTTTGGAAGAAGCAATTTTGGATAGGGTAGCTGAAACCCCATCGACAAGTACCAGAAAAATAGCAAATGGTAAGTAATTACTTATTTATTATTTTAGCTACCCCGTACCTTATCGTATAAAACTAGTTTTTTTACTTGTTATTGCTTCTCTTACATTTCATGACTTTTCGTATCGAAAAGAGTTGCGTTATGCAGAAAAAATCTGATTTCCCAAATCAATGGATTCTCTTTCTTAACTATTCACTACACAGATTCTCTCATTTAATTTCAGAAGTGGGAGTCGGACGTAACACGGTATGGAAAGTTTTGCGTGAACAACAATTGTACCCTTACCACATTCAAAAAGTTCAGGCACTTAAAGCTACTGATTATGAGCCGCGAGTTATCTTTTCTGAATGGTTTCTTGGAAGATGTAATCAAGATGCAATGTTTCTTAATAAAGTGCTATTTACCGATGAAGCTGGTTTCACTAGAGATGGTATAATAAATTTTCGAAATATGCATGAATGGGCTGAAGATAACCCTCACGCGGTTGTTGAACGTCACCACCAGGATAAATTTTCAATAAACGTCTGGGCTGGAGTTATTGATAATTACCTTATTGGACCATTTGTTTTGCCGAATAGGTTAAATGGAGCAGCATACAGGCTTTTTTTGGAAAATAACTTACATGAGCTTCTTGATAATATTCCGATTCAAATCAGACATAACATGTGGTTTATGCATGATGGAGCTCCACCACATTACAGCCTTGAAGCTAGACAGCACCTTAACGAAAGATTTGAGGGTAGAGTAATTGGCAGAGGTTGTCCTGTTAACTGGCCACCTCGTTCACCAGATCTAAATCCAATGGATTTTTTTGTTTGGGGTTATTTAAAATCATTGGTTTATTCCAGTCCTGTTGAAACAGTTGAAGAATTGGAAGAACGAGTTTTTCATCATTGCGAAGTTCTTAGGAATAATCCTGAAGTATTTTTTCGTGTAAGACAGTCTATGATGCGACGGTTGCGCTTGTGTGTGGAAACCAATGGTCGCCACATTGAGCATCTGCTTTAATTTTTTTTGATTTGTTTTTTTAGAATAAATATTTTTTTAAACCGTTTCTTATTATTAAATAAAAATAGTCCCACCACGACATTTGAACTACAATTATTTAGAGAGAGCTAAAAAAGTTATTTTTATTTACGAGATTCACCGAGGTAATTTAGGAAAATTGAAAATTAAGCTAAAGTGGACGAATATCTTTGGATGATGTTTTCTCGGAAACGGCTGCTCCAATCGAGATCAAACAAGTATTCCTTTTTGACGTAGTTTTCAATGTAGAATGTAAAAAAAAATATGGATAAGTCATTACCAAAAACACAAAAAAGTTATGAATAATCAAAATTTTCAAAAAATTCCCAAGTACACCCCTGACGAAATAATTTCTTTTTGAAGGTGTCAAAAGGTCACTATTATTGATCATATTTAACAGCCAAAATTTGGTTCTTTTATTTGTTTCCATTTTTAAGAAAATTCAAAAAATCAAAATAAAAAAAATGATTTCGAGAGGCTGTTGCTCGCTTAGGGGGCACTTTAGGACATAGGTCTATAGGAACTTTTTTTCCATTTTTTGGTTAAGGAATCTGCCTGAGAATTTTGGGACACATTTTAAAGGACACCCTGTATATTAAACTGGAAGAACAAAGCCGATCAACAAAATCGAGCCGCATAGCGAGGTAATATTTGACACTGTAGCGCCCACACGTGCGTATTAAAATGCACTAAAAAGAAACATCAAAATTAAATTTAAGGCCAAGTTCAACGCGTTGTCAATGACAAGTGACGGCGACTTCTTTATCACAAGAAATACAGCTCTGAACGATAATATTTTCAAAAACTGTTTTCATAAATGGGTTCAAAAAACTGTAAAGAATGATGGAAAGGGTATCCAGTCAATTCGTCGCGCGACAATTTATCGCGCGACCGTTCAGAGCCGACAATTGATCGCCACGACTTTTCATCGCTACGACAGTTTATCGCTACGACAATTCATCGCTACAAAAATATCGTATTGTATCTATGATTTATACAGTATGTCTGAAAAACAAACAATTTTTTTTGTGCCATATTGAATTTTTCTTATAAGTACCAAAAAAAATTATTTTTTTGAAAAAATTACAAAATATCTTATTCTAAATTACACAAAAATATAATTTACTTTTTTTCTGCTAATCAAGTAGTTTTTACTAAGAAAAATATAATAAATATCAATAATGTATTATTGATAAGCCAATTTAAAGTGTATAAGCGGCAGTCGCAGGTTATCAACAGTCCTTTACCTACCATTTAAAAAGGATTATCTTCATTAGCCAATTCGGGTAAGTTACCACATTAGTTAATAGTAATAGAGAATTATAATTATATAATAATAATTATAATTATTTTAGATGCCCTGTTTATAATATATGTATATAAGGTTTAAATAAGAAATACCAACGAACTGTAATCATTCTTATTTTGTCTTTGTACGAGTTTACATCATTGTAAAATTTGAAAATGCCGTTACAATTTGTTGACAGCGAAAGAGGTCACAAAATGCTTTTATACAATGGCCATACACATTCTAGAGAAAAAATTTCTAGAGAAAGAGGTATTTGGAAATGTTCTCTATATCATAAATGGAGATGTACCGATCGCATTCATACCATAGGCGATGAAATTGTGAAGAGTACCGAACATAATCATGTGTCAGATAGTGCTGATGCCGAAGTAAGAAGAGCTGTTAAAAAAATGAAAGTTTTAGCTGAACAAAGTGGTTCCACTACTCAACAAATCATTGCAAAGGTTTCCGAGGGTTTATCATCATCGGCTGCAGCCAGATTACCACAAGTGAGTGCAATGAAAAGAACTATTCAACGAAAAAAAGGAAAAGACAGAAGGAATTCCTGCGATTCCAAATTCTCTGCTTCAATTAGTTATTCCACAGGAATATACACTGACAAGCAGTGGTCAGTTATTTTTAATGTACGACAGCGGCCCATCAGAAGATCGAATATTAGTGTTTACAACAGCAAGAAATCTTGACTACATGTTGGAGTGTGAACACTGGTACAGAGATGGAACTTTTTCAACAGCCCCTAATATGTTTTCCCAAATATATACAATCCATGGCGTCAAATATTCAAATACCATTCCAACAGTATATGCAATTCTGCCGAATAAAAGAGAAGAAAGCTATAGACGTTTATATGCAGCATTAAAAAATTTGAAACCTGAACTTTGCCCTACATCTTTTTTAATGGATTTCGAAAAAGCAGCGATGAATGCGGTACGAAGTGAATTCCCTAATACTCAAATTCGTGGATGCTTTTTTCATTTTTCTCAGTGTATATGGAGACAAATCCAGAATACCGGATTTCAGA